CAATTCCTTTCCATCTGCACCCGGGAGTTTTACAAGCCTTTGCTTGCCATTCAGCTGGTACAGCAGAATCCTAGCCTTTCAGAAGGTGAAGTAGCATAATAAATATTCTGATTTATACGAGACCATATATGCTGACACATAGGATTGCAAAAACTGTTGTACAGAAAGAATCAGATGCCTTATTGCTGAACTTGTTCTGTGCTTCAATCCTTTATACACAGTTCATTTTCATATTCTGGCTTCTGTCCAGCAAAACAGAGACCTGAATCCTGACCCCATGTTATTCAACAAAATAATTAAAAGAGCTTGCATGACTTGCTTTGGGTGTCATCAATCTGTTTTAAATTCTCCAAGCTCTTGGTATTGAAGGTTTTCAAATAAGGTATGTGGATGGTAAAGGAATAAAGATCAGTTGAAAAGTGACATGCAAAATAAGCAGCATTGTAAATGCATTTTTAAAGTCATAGGCATGTATCACTGTTATCATCAGTATCTTTATATATCTAATTATATCTTTAGTTAAAGACCATCTTGGGACCCATCTGACTGCAACGTACCAGATCTAAGAAATTAATCATTACTGAAAAAGTGCATTTCAGCTTTTGTTTTGTAAAGGACTCATACCTGGGAAATGCACAAACAGTTGTGTTTATAATTAAATGGACATGGTAAATTGTGTTATTGTACAGCATTGAATAAAAGCTGAGTGTTAGCCTCAAAAATTCTCAATATTAAAATCTCACTAGCTGTACCATCTTGTTTTAGGCCTTCAGTGATACTCTTGCTGATGCCCAGGGAGTGATGAACAATTTTCACAACTCTGAACACAGACAAAACAAATAAGGGAATGAGTATGAAGCAAGGGAGTTAGTCACCTCTGAACCACCCATTAAGGAAGTTGCAGCTAAGAAGGCAAAGTCTGGAAGACAAATAATGTTGCAAAAAAAACTGTGGTAGCTTAAACTGGATGACTAAAATCTATAGAAAAATTTGTTCTCCGTATTCTCTGTATCTATGAAGTAACATAAATGCCTTCCCAATGCCCCTATCGTTTCAAGTACATTATGTGATGAATCCAGCATAAAACTTGGTTATTAAAGGAAATCCTGTACAAAATACTTGGCTGCAGAACTGAGTATAAATAATATGCAGTAAATAAAAAATGAAAGGGTGGCATCGAAGGCAAAAAAAAGTAGCAGAACATAAAAGCACCATTCCTTTGGACATCAAGTCAGGCATTATATTAGAGACATCTAGTCTGTACTATATTTATTTTTCCACTGTTTAAAATTATGCCTCTTCTCAAGTATTGCAATTAAAAGGGAGAGGAGATTATTTTGTGGACTTCCTTAAGTAGTATAGTTATTCTGAAAATTTTATCCCCTCAGCTGTGCTAAGTAAATACCTCAAGAAAATTGAACTTTACACTTTAATTCCCTTTTTCCTCCCTAGCTTTATTGCAGTTGTCAGGCAAGCGTGACACCTCAGCACACCAGCACCAAGCTCCCAGCCACTACACCAGATGGGAATGTAACTGGCAGCATGATCCAGCTCAAGGCTTTCAGTTCAGGGTGACCAAATTCCCACATCACATGTGAGCTCATGTCAAGGTTAAATGTACCCAGACTTAGAAGGAACAGAAGTAGAACAGATGGGCAAGCAGAAAGTCTGTGACTTGTCTTGGGTTTATGCTAGCCTTGGTTCACTGTGAGGAAGCATTGCACACATAATGAATCTGTGACCAGAGTTTAAGGCAGCAACACTTTACTGTAGCTCAGTTCTGAATTCTTTCTTAAAATCCTACTAAAAAGAATCCAGAAAAAGCTATGGAATGAAAACTGTGCGCATAATTTTCCCTTTCTAAACAAAATTATTTTACCTAGGCATTTTCTTAGAAAAATACAGTGAATTATCTCAGAAAAAAAAAAAAAAAAAAAAGAAAAAAAAAAGGCACTAGTACTAGCATTCTGTGTTGCTTGACTACAATTTTCCCACTAGAGGGATCATACACTCTTTGAGACCTGCAAAATCAGAAGCTATTTATTCCACACAGATTTCTTACTGGTGTGTTTGTAATATGATGAACTTAAGGAAACTTAAAAGGTTACCACAGCTCAGCCACCCTTCAGAAGGCAGATGTGTACTCATTAATCTCCTCTAATATCCTTCCTTTGCAGCCTTTTTCTCAGATAAGAAATAAGCAAATGCACCAGTGCAAACAAAATGCCTACCCAACAATCCATTTAAAATCCATCCCTTGTTTACATCTGTCTCCTAGCTCTTTTGCTCATGTATGTTTAAATATAAATAATCTTGCAAATGCTAACTACTGAGGGCAGTGTATTTGGGCCCCTCACCACAAGCAGGACACTGAGGTGGTGGGGTGAGATCAGAGTTGATGAAGAGTCTGGAACACAAGTCTGATGAAGAGCAGTGGAGGGACCTGGGGTGATTAGCCTGGAGAAAAGGAGGCTGAACAGGGACAGTAGAACTCTCTACAACTGCCTGAAAAAGAGGTTGTAGTGAGGTGGGGGTCAGTTTCTACTTGCAAGTAACAAAAGAGGAAGTGGACTCAAGTTGTGCCAGGGGAGCTTTTTGGATATTTGGAGAAATGTCTTTATTGAAAGCATTGTTGAGCTTTGGAGCAGACTGCCCAAAGAAGTGGCAGAATTACCATCCCTGGGGAAATTAAAAGAGCTGCAGATGTGACACTGAGGGACATGGTTTAGTGGTGGGCCTGGCAGTGCTGGATTAACAGGTGGTCTCAATGTTCTAAGAGATCTTTTCCATTCTAAACACTATGATTTGATGAGTGCCAGGAGTCTCAGCAGAAGTACTGAAAATGGAGAATGGCCAGCTATTTAAGCTGAGTTAAAGTACAGAAAAACCCTATCCCAAATTATGAAACATCTTCCTTTTCTATACAACTACAGCTGTACACTTTAGTGCCTTTATCTACCAACTGTTATAAATCATACCTGTTTGTTTCTCACTGAAGTAATGAAAAATTAATTCCTATTAAGTTACTGTCAATATATATATACCACTTGAAATTTTGTTTATCACTGTATAACTCTTCAAATCTTATCACTTATATTCTTTGCCACTTATTTTCAATCTTTCCAGCCTTTAATATTTTTATCACTGTTCCTAGGTCCTATTTTAATTAGGAGGGCTTTTTGCCTAGACTTTAATATATGTAGTTTAACAAAGTTCAGCACAGAACCTGCAATAACCTGCACTGTACATGATTAAGTTTTGTCAAAACAACTGTCTGACAACCACACAGCTTGATATCAATACTCTTAGTTAAATACCCTTGTGAGATAGGTATTTCTTAAGCCAAGAAATTATACAGGGTCACTACTTTGTTTCTCAGTTGCTTAACAGGTTCATATATGTTATTCTGTGTGATGAAGGCATTAAATAATTGTCTCATTTGGCAACTCTATTGGTTATTAAATTACACAGAACACCAGTTTTGTTTTCATGTCATTGGCAATTGTTAGCAGTTTTAAGGTGCAAATAATGCTAAAATAATAAAATATAATCCACGTAGAAAATGTCTGAAAGTCCTGTTTACTGGATGATTTAGAAGCTGAGAAGAGTGATTCACTTTAAATGAAAAGTTTATTATAAATTAGCATACTTTAATTAATTAAGGTCCTATTCAAATTTATAATGTTCTTCAGAAATTATGTCAATAAACAAAAAAAAAAAAAAAAACAAAAAAAAAAAAGTGCTTCCAGATTTCTGACACCAGACCATTTGCCCTGCAAGGTCTCTATTAGGAGATCTGTTTCAGTCATACAGACTCCAGCAACTGATTTCTCATTGTCTGAATTAAATAGCGCTCACTGGGAGAGGGGGGGAATTCTATGTTTTGCAAAGTCGCAAGACCAGCTCAGACCAAGCCGTGGCCGTTCCGGCTGATGCTGCTCCCTGGGATATTGGGCGGTCAGCGGGAGAAAACCACGGGCGGCACCGGGGAGCGCCGCCAGCCGGGAGGAGGCTCTTGGATCAAAACTGCTGCTCTCCAGGTAATCCCCCAAAGCCGGAGCGGCCCCGACTGAACGCAACAGGGCTCCCTCGCTCCACCGGGACACGGCTCCTACTCCAGAATTTGGAGCTACAGACCCAAAGAAATTATACAACTTGTTCTATGTCTTTGGGATCAGGAACGGGTGGTCCGATTCTGAAGAAAAACCAACGGTACCAACAGAGAACACGAAAGGATGCGTTTGGGATACACGATACGGATGCACCGACTGCCGAGTCTATGAGTCTTGCGGTCTTTTGGCAAACCACGAGTCGGTGGTTCTGAAATAATCAACCGATTCACCGGTGAACATGTCGGGAGCTTTCCTGTCACCTTAGTGGGTGACAGCCGCCACAGAACACCGTTTTCCCGGGAGCGGCAGTCCCGGGATGCGCCAGGGACTGGCTCCAGCTCCGCTGCCCCGGCCGCTGGCTCCGGGGCGCAGCCTCCTCCTCCTCCTCCTCTTCCTCCTCAGCGGAGCGGTTCCGTCCATGGGCGCCGCCTCCCGCGGGTGTCTGAGAGCTGCTGGCCGGGAGCCGCCGGCGAGCTGAGCCCGCAGCTCTCGGCCGGCTTCCCCGCGCCGAGCCAGCGCCCTCAGCGCTCCCGCACGGACACAGCCACGTCCCGCCCCATCCCGCACTGACACAGCCACTCCCCCCTCATCCCGCACTGACAGCGCCACGTCCCGCCCCGCCGGGCCCCAGGCAGCGCCCCGCCCCGCTGCGCCGGGAAACACCGCCGCGGGCCACGGGCCTGTACCACCGTGCCGCAGGGGAACTCGGCGCGGAGGAGATCGGAGGGGGTGGTCCCTCACCTCCCGACAGCACCGCCCGGCACCGCCCGCTGCCCTGCTGACGGAAGGTCGCCGCTTGCCCCGCCCGGGCGGCAGCGGGACGCGGGCTCCGGGAAGGGCCGGGGCTGGAAGTCACCGCCCTCCCTCCGTATCCGGGTGGTTGCTCCCGGGCGCAGCCGGGCCGGTGGAGCCGGTGCCAGGCGAAGATGGCGTACCCCGGGCAGCCGGCGCCCGGCGGGTTCTACCAGGGCGGGGTGAGCGGGGCCGGGCCCGCGGGGCGAGGAGGCCGGCGGCGGCCCGGGGCAGCGGCGGGAGCCGGGCCAGGCGGGGTCTGCCCGGCCAGGCGCAGTCTGCCCGGCCTCGGCCGCCGCGGGCTCCAGCTCGGGGCTGCGCCCGCGGGAGAAGGGAGGGAGGAGGCACCTCCCCCGCAACCGCTGCCGGGGAGAAAGTCAATGCTGAGGGTGTCATTCCGCGATTTTCACTTAGGAATCGGTTTTATTTAAGGGTTTTCACACTTAATACGTATTCTTCCATGTATTTGCCCTAGACATCTGTTTTGCTCAACTTTTCTGGAGTGGAAAAAAAAATTTGTAGTGCCTTAGTATTTCTTCAGCACGCCGTTGTCTGCTGGGGGTAGAATAAAACGAAACCTTGGTGAGATAGACCAGGCTGTATCTAGATCAGTCGATTGCTCCTAAGCAAGGTTTTACACTGATCTGCTTACATTACAATACATTATGTATTCAGTATGTTAGTACTGAAATTCAGAGTTGGTTTGGGGGATTTTTTTCGTGAGGAGTTTCGTTTTTGGTTGGTTTGATTTTTTTTTTTTTTAAGGCATGGTGTGTACATAAAAACGTATGTTGATAAGTACAGATCCTTAACTGAATTATTGATTTAAAATTAATTTTCTTTTTTGTTTCCAAAGTATGGAGGAGCTCCAGGAGGACCAGCATTCCCTGGACAAGCTCAGGATCCTTTGTATGGTTATTTTGCTGCAGTAGGAGGGCAGGTAAACTTATAAAATGTTATTTACTTATTGGATTTTTTTTTTCCCCTTCTTGGGGAGTACTCTCTACCTTTGGAAGGAGAAATGCCTGGTATTTGCAGCCCCAATACCCCAGGGAAAAAAAAACTAATGTTTCTAGTTAAAAAAAACATAATTGTTTTACTTAGCCTATTTGCTATATATCTATGTATGTATTGGTCTATGTTATAGCTGTATACGTACAGGAATTATATTATTTGAATAACGCTGTTAGTTTCTGTATTGTATGTGCAAATACATACGTACATACACAAACATAGACATGTATGCCTCTATTTCCTATATAGGTATATGCAAGGGATATATAGATGCATGAAGTTTTGTAACTGAATTGTGACTCAGCTCTGGGCTGGTGAATGCTGCCAGGTTTAGAAGAAAGAAAAGAGAAAGAGTGGAAAGTGTGGGCTGTGGAGATAGCCTGGCTAAGAGCAGGAAATGATAACAGGAAAGAGGTCATTACATGGTCTTAATAGACTCACAAATGGAAAAGCATTATGGATTGTGCCAGCATCTGGGTTTACTGTTAACATAGAGTGATTATTCTTCTAGAGGAAAGGCTTTCACAACTTTTTTTTTTTCTTCCCTGTCATTCTGCACTGCATTTTTAATTTCTTTCCTGTAATTTTTTGGCATATATTGTTTTTGTATGATCATGTATGTTGCTAGAAATACGTGCTCTTTGAACTGTGTTACAGAGTTTAGGAGCAATTAAGTTAGGTTTATTGAGCTGAAGTTCCGTGTTTGTTTGCCATATTGTAGCTATTTATTGCACACTTGTAGGGTGTGTGCAAATCTAAAGTTCTGCTCTTGCATCTGTTATCCAATGTCCAGATTCCCACCATAACTTAGATTATTGTTACTTTTTTGAATTAATAATGCATCTTGCAGTCTATATCTTACTTCCGTCTAACTGCTTATGGAAATATTTAGACTGTGTGTTTTTGTAGTAAAGGAGAACACTGGAATGACCTCTGTGTAATGAGGCCTTTCTGAGAAGGTGGAGCCCAGAGCTGAGTTCTGCTGAATGTGCTGACAATTTCTCTGCCAGCTGAGACGTGTCTGTGTGCAGGTGCCTCCTGGATGTGAGCCAGGAATCAGCAGCAGAGCAGTAACTGAGGCTGGACAAGTGAATTAGATCCTGTTGTAAAGAGAAAGGGAGGTAGCAGCAAGCAGGAAACAGCACTGTGAAGAAGAGGTGGCAGGAGCTGGATTTCAGCAAAACACAGACCATGCCCAGCTTTCTCAAGTGAGGCATGGATACTGGAAGCTGGGGAACCAGTGGGTTGATGGATATGATCAAGTTAGCAGTTAAGAATACTTAAGTTAACATTCTGAAATGCTTTCTATTTCTAGTAATTATTCCTTACTGAAATGAACTCAGTAGCTTTTTAAGTTATCCTTGGAATCTGAGGTGTCTGTTTCTGGTACCAGTGGCTGTGCAGAAGTAAAAACCCTCTAAGGAGACAGTGAAATGTAACAGATAAATTATCAGTTGCTTTTATGGCCATCCATGCACCTCTGTAAAAAGCTACATCTCAGTTATCCATCTGTACTTACTGTAGAATGAGTATGTTATGGGTATGGTTTGCTGCTGCATTGTTTTTATGCCTGTATAATATCTAATGTTTTATCTGAGCTTTCTTTGATGTAGTTTACAATAGGGATCTTGTCTTTGACTTGATGAATTAGTTTTCTTTGTTTACAGAAGAAAGTCAAAAGTATTGTTTCAAATTCAATTTGAGCCTGAATTTGTAGGAAGTAATAATTTGGTTTTTAACCTGTTTGCAAAGCTGATATGCATTGTCTAATTTAACCTGCTTATGTTCTACTAAAAAAAAAAACCAAAAAAAGACAAGCATATTTTTTGTAATGTTAATCTTGATTACAGTCATGCTTTTCTATCTTCCTCTATTTTAAAGCTATGCAGTTCCTATCTTTATTTCAGAAGGTACAAAGCCTTTGAAGAGATTAGTTTCTTAAAATTTTAAATCTCTTCGTGCCCTGCCCCCCCCCGAACATAAAGTATAAAATACATCTGTATAATTAGACTGATGGAGTAGATAGGAAGCAAATTTGGGTTTATCTGTCAGTAACTTTACATAGAAACAAAACATTGTTGCCTTTTTTTCCAGTCCCTGTCAACCCTGTCAAATATCATTGAACATAGACTTACTATTTGCCTTATAAACAATGGTACTTAATTTCTGAAAGTTATCAGGCTGTGCTGTTCCCACCATATCATTCAGTAGCATATCTCTGTTGTTGAAAAAAAGACCTTTCAAAAGTGGGTTAAAAAAATTAGGATGATGCTGTAGCAAACAGAATCACAGAATATAGTGAGTTGGAAGGGACCCACAAGGATCATTGAGTCCAGCTCCTGGCCCTGCTAAAGACGTCCCAAGTGTCAAACCAAGTGCTCAGTTGTGTTGTCTAAATACTTTTTGAACTCTCTCAGGCTTGGTGCTGTGATCACTTCACTGGGAGGCTCATTCCAGTGTTCAGCTGCTCTCTGGGTGAAAAACCTTTTCTTGATAGCCAACCTAAACCTCCGCTGACTTGGCTTTTCATCTTCTAATGCTTTGCAGAAGTGTCATCATTTTTTATGTCTACAGATGTAATGTTCCATTCCTTAATCAAATTAAACTCTCTGTGAACCAAACTTCATGTTGGGGATGTGAGGAATAAAATTTAGAATTCCACCTCCACTTCTGGCAGCTCACTGCTTTCCATGAATTGGCAGTTTTCTCTATTTGGCCCTGAGCAGGATTTGTGAGAAGTGAGGCATTCTCCAAGCCATGTGGATTGGTCTATTTTTTGAGTTTGTTATGTTTTTCTTTCAAAGTTCTTTGCTTTCTACATTTGCTTGTTGTGCTAGCAACTTAATATTAAAAAAAAAAAAAAAACCCAAGGAATTTTTCTATTTGTGAGTTGCGAGGATGTCTTGAGAAGGATAACTAATTGAATCTCACTGGAAAGGGAGTGGGTACTGGGAATAAGCAGCCTGGGAGAGGGTATTAATAGCTGATACATCTTCTGTTATCGAAAGGATGGACAAATAGATGCTGATGAGCTACAGAGATGTCTCACCCAGTCAGGGATTGCAGGAGCATATAAACGTAAGTTAATGATTTGAATAAACAAGCAAATCTAAAGCACACTAATTTTTCTTCCCTAGAAAATATGTGTAGTTGTGCTTTCTGCAGAGCTGGGTTTTTTTCTTTGCATGGCAAATGGGTTTCCTTTCCATACCTTGGACATGTAAATTCTCTGTATTCAGTTCTGTGTGCCAAGGATTTGCCTTCTCAGCCTCCTTAGTTCCTCACTCTGCTGGGCTGTGCAGTTGTTTTGTAATGGACAGACAGTTCTTAAAAAGATGCTTTGCTTTGGTTTGAACTGAGCTTTGATATTGACCAAAATCTGTGGCAGGACTCCTCTGCTGGGATACCTCCTGTTCAGTTTACAGCTTCTGTAAAAGTGAGTGAAAAAAGTGAGTAAAACTGGCTTGCTCAAGTGGTGTCTGTTGCAGAGGGAGTATAAATGACCACTTTGAAACCCAAAACTGTTGTGGATTAAGATAAGAGCAAGTTAGTTTTAAATACAACTTGAATTGCCTCCAAATTGTCTGCTGTCAGTTTTTCTAACAAGTAATGGCTCTTACTTGGATGAAAAATATGATATGGCTGTATACAGGGAACCAATTAGATAATAGTTTATACATTATAATATATAATCAGTATATCATTTAAATTTATAATCTGAAATGTTATGTTTAGTTAAAACTGAAGAATATGCTCTTAACATAATTTATTTTTTCTTTTTCTAATTTCAACAGCTTTCAACTTAGAGACTTGCAGACTTATGATCTCAATGCTGGATGTATCCTTTAGTATGAAATGTAAACATTTTTGCATTATGTGAGCAAAGATGAGAGAGAACGTCAAAACATTTGGGAAATGCTTTGTGGTTTCCATTCAGCCTTTAAGTCTTGTGATCATTGTGATTGGTAAGCTACAAAACTCCATTCTCACTAATTCTAACAAATTAAGAAATAGTAAATAAATTATGCTCTTAGTGACCAATCATTTTACTGCAAGTGGTATCCCTCTAAGCCTGGGGAACTGTTTCTCCATTGAATGTATGAACAGTCAGGTCTGGTGGCCCAGAATAAAGTATTGTGCAAATCACTTGTGCTTTTCAAATAGGACAACTTTCCAATTTCTCATCCTTCCTAAAGAATTTTAAGCATTTGTAGTACATAGCCTGAATACAATCTAAGTACTGTTCCATTAATTAATCAGGTTTGAGTATCTAATGGAATGGTATATGGCATTCAGCAGTAGGACCTGTGGAAGACTTAGAGATACTGTGTAAGGTTAGAATCTTTGGAGGTTTGTTAGCCAAAACTTTAATTGAAAGTTTTGCTGCTTAAAAAGAAAAAAGCAGAAATTAAACTGGAAAGGATCTTAGCTCATCTTGAACAACCCACTTAGAATATGAGAGAACTAATATTATAACAATTTATTCTTTGGCATCTGTTTTTATTTCAGCTATATGTTTAATTGGTTAAAATTATGTAGCAGCAGGTTAAAGAGAAGTGTGTAAATTAAAGTAGAATTCAAAAAGAGAAAAAGGCTTTAGCAGGTTTCACTTGGAAGAAGTGGGGAGAGCAGGTTTTCTGAGGTTCTCTGACCTTAGGTTTTGGGTATTATTACCTCCATCTGTGCCTGGGGGACACTTTAGTTAGTTTTATACAAGAGAAATTAATAATAGTAAAATTGTATTAATATTTCCCTTCAAGTAAACGTTTCTAACTACAGAGAGTATACGCCTTTTTTAGTTGTTTTTTTGGTCACTTTTTGTTGGTGGTTTTGTTTAGTTAAGAAATGTTTTTCTTAGCTTTGAAATCAGAGGGATATGTCTGGCACACTGGGATTTAATGAGTTTAAAGAACTCTGGGCTGTGGTCAATGGCTGGAAGCAACACTTTGTAAGTTTTGACAGTGATGGAAGTGGCACAGTGGATCGTCAGGAACTGGAGAAAGCTTTGATGAATATGGGTAAGTTGTGAAATTTTCTTGCTTCTGACATTGACTTACACCATTTCCCAGTTATCATCCTGCAGTAACTAACACATGAAAACATGTTGGATTCTATTAAGTTTCCTGGCTTTTCAAAATAAGACTTTTTATTTTCAAATAGGATTTAGACTGAGCCCACAGGCTGTGACTGCAATCACAAAGCGATACAGCACTCAAGGAAAGATTGCATTTGATGATTACATTGCCTGCTGTGTGAAACTCCGAGCTCTCACTGGTATGCTGGATTATAGCTTTGCTACTGTCGTCCCCATAATATATTTTTATTTAATAAAACCTGTTTGCTCATTTACCTCAAGTTCAACTTCCGTATACTACAAAAGAGATTTCTATCAATAGTCTACAGACAATTATAGATCATGATTTTTAAAATTCCCATCAAAAAAATGACCTTATACTAATGTAGGGTTTACTCCAGAGACTGGAAGAGTAATGTTACAAAAATTGGGAAACTTTGTTTATTCACAGAACATAAAGGCTTGTATATGAGAAACAGAAAAATTTCGAAGGGGAAAGTAAGTCTTGGAATGAATTGCAGTATTCTTCATCATGTTCTCCTTCATGTGACTAGGGAAATTTTAGGAAAGTACTATACACTTTAAAAATTTGTTTATTTGTAATTCTTCTTACTTGGTTTCTGTTTTCTTAATTTTTGCAGAATGCTTTAGAAGAAGGGATGTAACTCAGCAGGGTTTTGTGAACTTCCACTATGATGATGTAAGTACATTTTAAAGAAGCTATTAAAATTCCAGGGTAAAACAAAAGAAAAACTTAAGACATCAGTAATGATTTGAGCTTGTGCTTATCTTCCCTACACATGCAGTGAGAACCCAGATGTTCTGGGGCTTGTTGAGTATTGTCTCAAAAAGCGTTCATGTATTTTACAGATTTCTATAAAATGTTTTGTATTTGTTTCTGAACTTCTAACCAGTGTGGTTCAAGAAGATCCAAGAAGCTACATCACCTGCTAGCATAATCTTCTGTGACTTTTTTTTTTGTTTGTTTTCTGTTTTAAAGCTTCGTATGCATTTTTCCTGGAAAAGGTTGGTGGAGGTCTGGTGGATGAATCACACTCAGTCAGGCTTCTGGGTCTTGGCTTCCTACTCACATTTGTGCAGCAAAAAAAAAGAGATTCAAGTCATCCTGGATTTGGATGTTTAGGGGATTGGGGTTTTTCTTGGAATGGGGGAGAGGAGGACCATGTGTGCTAGTTTTTGTTATTGTTGTTATCATTAAGAAGATGCTTTGCTTTATTAACTATTTGCTTATTTTCAGATTTATTTTAAAGCTTTACTATTTGTGGGCTGAATTTCTTTACAGAAAAGTGTAGTGACCATGAGTATTGTAGGATAAAAAGTAAAAACTTGTTCTCTGTCATACATCTAATAAGTGGTTATTCTTTTTACAGTTCATACAGTGTGTTATGAGCATTTAAATCAAAAGGAAGCAAGCCGTGGATGGTCATGATTTAACATTCCAGTTTTATGAGCATCTTAATCAAAAGGAAGCAAGCTGTGGATGATCATGATTTAACATTCCAGTATGTGTTTTGCTTTGCCAAGTTCTCCAATGATTGTGTATCTCAATATTGGAAATTGCATATTTTATGAAGGCATCCCTTTTCACACATTTTTTAGTCTTGATAATGAATATGAACTACTCATGTACTGTTGTCTTTAACTTCCAGTCTGTGATTATTAAAGTTGCTTTTATTTTCATAAACTTGCAATTCAGTATGTATAGCTCAGATCATGGAAATGGTAAGATTTCTCAGTCATGTGTCTACTTTTTTCCCATGACTCACTAAAATCAGTTTCTGGAATGCAACTTAACATTTTCCGACTAAACAGTAACGTGTATGACTTAAGAGCATACATATTTTCTTGTCTTTGACAATGTAAGACAAATGTACAAAAAAGGGATTTTAGAGTGGTCATTTTGCACTGGTCTGTTAAAACATCAGTAAGTTTTGGTTACTTACTTTGTCAGCTCTTTTGAAGATGAAGCCTTTGACACCATGCACTGAGTGTGAGACTACCTGCTAGAACTTCTAAGCAGGGATGCAACAAAACATAGCAGAAAACTCTTCTAGCCTTGTGCCCTAGTACAGGGGGCTTTGTCCTTGTAAGATTCTTGCTTTGTTTGTGTGACTACATAAAACACTTTTAAACATAAAAAAGCTGTGCTGTGTCAGTTTATGCATCAAGTCTCCCTTCACAGGCAGACTTCAGTTACATGTAAATAAACGTTTCTGTCTCCTCCACTTTAATCCCTAGCAAGTGGTCTTCATACTTCAATATGCCAACTAACACATAAGGGCCAAAACCCACTTGGAAAAAATTCTTGCCATGCTACTCTTTCAGATCACAGGAGTAGTTACCAATGAATGCAGATACTGACAGGCAAGGCTTACTCACCTTAGGCTCTTCAGGGGGAAAAAATGGGATTTTTGTTTGGTCAGGGGTTTTTGGTTGCTTTTGTTATAGGGATTTTTGAGAGAAAGATGGACATTTTATGGAAAGAGGGAACAGCACAACTGTACAGAGGTAGTGCAAACTTTTTCCAATTAAAAAAGTTAATGAAACTTTTGTTAATATTGGTCACTTCAGCCTACCACCAAGGATTGATATAAATTGTTCTGTTGTTTGTGAATATAATGCCAGAAGAATGTTAAAAGAAGTGTATTTCTTAAATAAGTAGTTTAGGGCAGGTTTGGGGAGGAACCTTTGTATTAAAGAATGAAAGCAAAACTACACATATGTGCATATATATAAACACATATAAATATGCATAATTGAAGAAACAAGAGTTTCTCAGAGCAGGATTCTCACTCAAAGATACTGTATTGTACTCTGCTTTGTGGAGGTGTCTATTAAATCCAGCACTTCAATGTCTGGGCTGTAAATTCAAAGCAGGCTCATCTTCCCTAAAGAAGCAACTTGTACTTAATGCTTAAATTCGGAATCCTTTAGGTATTGCTTGTAGTTTGATTACAGAAGCTAGTTCTCTTTTCTACTCTCGTAACGAATTTCAAAGGCATAGACAGCATTATACATCTACATTCTGATAGTACGTGTCCTGTTGCACATAAAGTTGGGAAATAGATGAATATTACTGGAAGTATTTATAATGGAATGACCAAAATCCATAAAGGTTTCCCTGAGTGTAGCAGCCAACATCAGTTCTACTTCAGTTCAAACCTTTGACAGCTGATGAGGTTAGTAAGAGAGAAAAAAAGGCTGTTCTTCCTGTAGGGATTTGAGTGGACTATTTTGTATAAATACAGTGCTCATGCTTACACTTCATTTTACCCTAAGAATATTAAGAGATCTTTACCAAAATGTTCATTTCCCTATTCATTTTTACTTCTACTTAGTTGTGTTTCTGGTCTTGTAGTGGCTTTGCTGGGATAGAATTAATTTTCTTTATAGCAGCCCAAAGGTTCAGATTTGTAACTAATCAGCATCAGTAACAGCAGTGTTTCAGCTGTTGCTGGGCAGTGCTTGCACAGCATCCAGGTCTTCTCAGTTTCTCACTCTGCAATCACAGTGAATAGGCCAAGTGTGGGCAAGAGGCTGGGTAGGAAATCAGTGAGGACAGGTGACTCAAGTGGGCCAAAGCACTCAAGACCCAAGGACCCAAAACTCAAGTCTTGCTCAGTTCATTTCCCCAGCTGAATCAGTATTTTGGCACCAGCCAGTTACTGGGCAGTGAAATGCTGCAAGCAGACAGTGTGAACCAATAGGGTTTTCTTCAGTGATCTTGTAAACATAAACCAGAGAAAACTGGGAAAAACGATGTTCCAAAACCAGGAGAAAATTCTGGCTTCCTCAAGAAAAAATAGCTTTTTGTTTTACATCAGCATTTCAAAAATCCAGCATATTCACAAGGACTGACGAGATACATCATCTTTCAAGTTCAGAGAGAAACTAAGCCAATACACAGAGATGCTGAGGAGTTACACAGAGTTTGCTGTCATAGCTAAAAAAAGCCACCTGAAACCTTTGCGAATATTGCTTCTCCATTAAGAGTGAATTCAGTGGACAGACTGAATATGCAAGTTACCTGCTAGAGAAACAGTTATTCTGAGAATTGAGTTTCTCTTTCCCACAAGCCATACTGGAAAGGATACTCACGTGACACCAAGTGCAGTGATTGCTCTTGACCTTTGAGCCAACCACTGGGTATAGTTTCAAATAGATATTTTTCCTAGGTTGCCCTCAAACACGCAAACTAAGGAATAGTAATTTTAGATTTGCTTTGAGAACAGTAGGCCCCTTCTCAAAGATTTGAGAATAATTTTCAACCTTGGAATTTGAAAAATAACAGCTATATTCTTCTATTAGCTGTTTCCCATGCATGCAGCATCTTTATTTTATAGAGATCTAGAAAACAGAAAGTGGTAAATACAGTCACTTAGAAGAATAAAATACACACAACAGTCTTTGTCATTGAAAGTCACTTTACTGATGTTACAATATGTCAGTAACATTGAAAACCACAGGCATTTGTATTAAATACTCTTGTAGAAGTGGATACTGTGACGCTGTTATTATTAAAAGTGAGCAGGATTTTAGAACCCCAAATTACAATGATTTGATTTTATAAAAAGCAATGTTTTGTTTAGCTACATGAAAGCCAGATTCATTAAACAGCCCAATGCCTGTAATGTTTATGACAAAAATATCACACTCAAAGCTAGAAAGTTGTAAACTGCAGTGCTTCATTTTGATGTTTGTCAAAATCTTGCGCTTTTATTACATCAGGTATGATTTTTAAGGAATTTTAAGTAGCAAAGACAATGATATGATGCAAATCATTGTTTTTGCCAATACTAGCCCAGCCACAGTGGTGAAACATGATTCTCCTTGCCTCTTTCAATAATGGCTAGTATGAGTGAAAAAATAGGGTTGTTTTTTTTTACAGCAATGCCCAAGTTAAACATCAGCACAAAATGAAGCTGGCAGAGCCAATTGGTATATACGACCCCAAAAGCTTTGCTGAAAGAACTGGTCATACAGTAAATAGTGTTTTGTCCAGCAGATTAAAAATTCTGTAATGCTTTGCTATTCTGAAAAAAATATTTTGCATTTATGCAACAATAAAAATAAGTACTGTATTCTATATAAAACATTACCTATTTTAATATATTTTTATCCTTAAGAAAAGAAAAATTAGGTTATATATTCACAGTTTGAGTATGTTCTGGACTGTATTTCCAAGCGTAAAGTATGCAGAGTCTACAGAGGCAGTGAGCAGGAGTTCTTGTAACAATAATCAAACTAAATGAGCATTTGCTGTTCTACAGAGCCTTACAATATTACATGATTAGCTGCTCGCACCACTCCACTTACAAGGTCAGTCAGGCCTATATACAGAATTTCTAACATGGTTGTAAAAATAGACTCTTCATGCTAAAGTTAGAGTATATAAGGTCTTAAGGCCTCATGTTCATATTTTTTAAAACAAAAGCTTTATCTTTTTATTCAGAGGAATACAGAAACAGAAAAATAAAAGATTGTTGCTTTGACATTTTATGCTCTAGTAATTAAAAACTGTGTTGACACCTTTACTTCTCCCCTAGATAACGCATTTCTTTTTAACTGCTCTGTGCTTATTTTCCCAAATTTTCCTCATCTCATTCTGAGTTATATGGCAATTATGGCCCCTCTTAAGTAGCAGAAGTTTTTAAACAGTTTAAAGCTGGTTTAGCTGAAGTGATTTTGAAACTGGTATAGACTGGATTTTAAAGAGCTAGAACTGCCAGATCTGGCTATGTGTGCCAAGTTTGAAGCCAGGTACATTATCTCAAATGTGAGCAATATCTGTGTTCCAAACTTATTTTTACTGCTTGTTTTTCTTACTTGTGTGAGATAACATAGGAATGTTGACTGTTGTAGTGCTTTTCTCTAAATACTTGCAGAAAACTGTTGTGGAATGACAAGTTACCGTGTGCACAAGTTTCCAGAGCTGCAATTTACATCAGCATCCATACTTGAGACACCAGAAATGGTTTTCATAAGCTGACTTAGAAACTACTCATGTCAGAGGAGATTTTAGCATAGACGACAGAAACTATTACTTCCTTTCTTGTTTCTGACAAAATCACACTTAAGAGAGTCCTGTCTGTATTGCAGCTATGTTTACACAATTAGTTTCACTGTTTTATTTTTTTCTTGCCTTATTAGGATAATAGTTATGTGCACACAGGAACCTCACTCCACTGTCCAGTCATGAGATCACAGCCTGCACATATTTTTGCAGTTTGTCTTCAGGAATCACAGAATATTCTGGGTAAGGGACCCACAAGGATAATCCGGTCTAACTCTTAAGGGAATGGCCCATAGGGGGATTGAACCTGTGACCTTGGAATTATTAACACCGAGCTCCGACCAGCTGAGCACATCAAATGTGATCCAAGTCAAATCCCATATTGCTGATACATAAGATTTGGAAGCCATGCAAATAGTGGCTCATCAGCTCATCTATTCTTGGTATTTCAGTGGAGACTGAAATGCTCAAGCTCTTCAAAAAAGAGGCAAATAACATCATATTGTAGTTAAAAACAGTGGTCCATACAGTCCACTGTTATCCCATGACACAGACACTCAATTTAGAGAAAGAAACATGGGATTTTCAGACTTGGAGCAAGAGAAACGAGAAACAGCTCAACTGTTAGGTTCACAGACTTAGTGATTTAAGAGGCTTAGCCTTCAAAAATGCTAGAGGTGAGAGAGACACAGGATGGCTGAGTCATCAAGTGATTTTACCAGTAGTATTCTGGTTTAACCACAAGTAACTAAGGCCCAAAACAGCCGCTTGCTCAGTCCCCACCCCCAGTGGGATGGCAAGAGAATTGTAAAGGTAAAAGTGAAAACACTTATGGGTTGACATAAGAACAGTTAAATAATTAAAATTAAATAACTGTAGTAATAATAAAAAAAAATAATTAAAAGGAAATTAACAGAGAGAGAGCTAAAACCCAAAAAAAACCCCGAATGATGCAAATGAAAACAATTGCTCAGTAGACCAGTGCTCAGCCAGTCCCTGAGCTGCAGTTCTTCACTGCCAGCCTTCCCCTTGGATTGCTGCTGAGCATGGCATCATATGGTTTAGGATATCCCTTGGGTCTGCTGTCCAGGCTGTGTCCCCTCCCAACTCCTTGTGCACCCCAAGCCCAGTTGCTGACAGGGCATGTGAAGAGCAGGAAAGGCCTTGGCTCATTGCAAGCGCTGCTCAGCAATAACTGGAAAAATCTTTGCATTATCTACAGTGTTTTCAGCACAAATCCAAACCACAGCCTCATACCAGCTACAATGAAGAAAATTAACTCATCCCCAAGCAAAATCAGTGCAAAATCCACAAGACATGAGGCATCATCACCTGATTATAGCACAAGCAAAAGATCACAGGATAATTAAATGGTCTGGATTGGAAGGGACAATAAAGATCATCTCGTCCCAACCTCCCTGCCATGGGCAGGACTTTCCACTAGACCAGGCTGTTCAGAACCCCATCCAACCTGGTCTTGAACACTTCCAGGGATGAAGCATCCACAGGTCCTCTGAGAAACCTGTGCCATTGTCCCACCACCCTTACAGTAAAGAATTTCTTTCTAATACCTCATTTGACCTACTATCATTAACAGTATTGGAAAGACCCTATCCGTAGTGTGGAAAGGTGATCAACTAAGAAGCTTTCTGATGTCAGCCAACTCACAGAGGCTGTTAGTGGATGAATGTTTCATGAAAATTCTTTTCAGTGGAAGTGAAAAGGAGATGGAAGAGAACAGGAGCTCACTGAGTTTTACACTGGAGTATGATAACTTTGCTTACAGCTAGCTATGGGATTCGATGTCAGAGCAAGTCCTAAGGGCTAACTGAAGAGTATATCCTTTATTATTATGGCGTCCCATGCTTCTTTCACATTACATTCTATTTATTAATAAATTCATTAATGAACTTACAGCAAATTTGGTCAGAATTTGTAGCATATGCATGTCTATAATAGTGCATGTAGCCATTCTTACCTCTGGTTTTCAGTTGTTGAATTAGCATTGACAAGACCTATTAGTTCAAAGCAATAGGGATTTGAGTAAGAGGATTTCAGTACACTAACTATTGACACAATTTCTTTCTGATTTTAATTCAGGCTATACTTCAAAGGTTCACTTGTTCAATAGCACAATCAGAATTATTTCATGAGCACATGAGCTCAGCAGGTTCAACATCTCACAGATCAGGAACTCTTTAAATCATTTGGAAGAAGCCATCTTCCAAGCCAAGTCACACTTCAGGTGACTGGCAAGCTGTGACTTTAGTCACAATTTAAGCAAAGATAGGCTGTATAAAATTAATAATCTTCTTGAATCTACTTACTTAAATATAACAAAACTATATGTAAATTATAAGTCACAACCATCTCTGGTATATTGCCTGACATTAATAAAGTTCTTAAGTTAACAAATCCAGAATTAGTAGGTAAATCTTTACTTGTTAAACTGTGGCATCATTGTGCAGCATTATTTTTAGATATAATCTCAATTTTCCAGTCTCCATCAGTTAGTCACAATGATTTTATTATAAATTACACAAGATTCTTCTCCCACATTGAAATACATAAGGGTAACTTAAGTATATCTCATCCTGATGGCCCTATGTTCATATAAACAATTACTTCTAGTTGAGAACTGATAGCTTCCTCACTTCAACAGGCATCTACAGCATAGTTGGCAAAAACTAGTTCATTTATAAAAATAAAACCAAAATAAAAGCATGAGTCTCAATGAGTCAAAATAACTGAGCTATATTAGTGACAAGTACTCTATTTTAGTCTGGATGAGGTATTATGCAGCAGTTTATATTGTTATTGCCAACGTAACTAACTACAGTGGATAAAAATATTTGCAATCTTCAAGGTTATTAATCTGGCAGCTTTCCAACATACTACATTTTAAAAGTAAGAAATGACAGCTTTGTAAGCAAACAACTTCTCTGTCCAACCTCCACTGGCTTGGGAGGCTCACACAGCCCTGACAGTTCAGGTCTCCCAAGTTACCAACCTGATGCAAAGTTCTCTGCAGAAGAATTTTGCAAGAACACAAGTCATGTGGTATTCTCATGCTAGACCACCAAAGTGAAAGTCAACACTTATTTAACTTAAACGTAGTGCCCAGAACTAGACTTCCAGTCACTACATATCTCCAAATGTGAGGGTGACTGTTAAAGGTACACTACACACATACGTGTATCATCATATGCAACAAATGAATGGTACCAAAACAAAAGAAGCTGGAAGTACATACTACATTGAAAATACAGTCAGGAGGGCTATTTGTTTGCAAAACAAGAAGCTATGAACATAGCAGAAAGAGCCTGTATGTTATGTCCAGTTCTGTCTGCCAAATCTTGCTGCTTCTTGGTAAGGCAAAATGGAAAGGGAGGAGTAAACAGTGGTAAACATAAGATATGCACAGAAATCTAATGGGATCATTCAAAACTACACACCAGTTTGTATCCAAAAAAATACCATAAAAGGCACATGATGAACAGTCCAGTTACTAAAGACAAAATATGAATATGGGAGGGTAAACCAGCTTCCAGGTGACAGAGTAATACAGCAATGATTGAGTTATCATAATGTCCTAATGTGGGTGAACCTCTTGAGGGTCCTGCTCAAAGTCCAGTGAAATCAACAAAAGACATATTGATTTCAAGTTATGGCTCAGACCCTAATTTCATAAGCTACATGCTATCTTTAATCCATATAGCTACACTCAAAGTAAATCTTTGCAAAAAATATTCTTCAGTGCTGATTGATATATTTACCTTTCACAAAAATGCAGAATCTTTCCCTAAAGCAGTTACAAGTGACTGTCTCTTTCCAGATGGTCAGTCTGCACCCACTTGTGCTCACTGATATTTGTCTTTTTCCAAATACTTACCAGAACCTGTTGACTGTGAGAAAATCATTTCAATTCCAAGGCCAATATTTTGTCATAATCCAACATACAGCCTAATCATAAAATATAGTGCTTCTAAAAATCTTACATATTTTACAGCTGCCAACATCTTTAAACATTTCTTAATTTAATCTTACATATATCTGACTTTATTGAGAGACATAAAAGTTAAAAAAATACATTAAAAGGCTGCAAGTGTTGGATTCACTCACTAAAGGAAATACATGAAAGAGGTAGAAGATTCAGAAACACCATAGATGTTCCCATTACAATAATATCTAATTAATCATACAGTTGTTGGGTAGGGTATTCAACTGCACCACAGAGTCGGTTTTGGAAAACTAGAGAATTATAAACTGATTTAATATGGTCCAGTTTCTCACTAACTGAAAATTCCCAACCAGAAGGCATTTGCTTTACAACAACCTTTAGAAGTCTCAGGTGTTAGAAATACAACCATCAACTAACAGACAAGATTAACATGGTAAAGAGTTGTTCCCCCCCACCCCATTCTTTTTAAGCTAAATTAATTTGTGCTCAGTTTATGCCCCAAAAAATTGTCAAGGGGGCTTCAGGGGCAGTAAGCATAGCATTCAAGTGCATGGTAAATGCGGTTCCAGTAACAAATAAAAGTTGAAAGACAGCAATGAAACTGGCCACTTGCCCAGCACTGTTATTATCTAGTGCAGTGATATTGTTATGCTTCTCATAAGCCTATGCCTTGCCATCTAAAACAGTGTCTGAAATTCTCTATCAAAAATACACAGCAACTCTCACAGACAGACATCACATCACCACATCCTGAACTGACTACTTAGAAGTATTCCCAAATGTCCAGTAAGTTTGAGCTGCACATGACTTAAAGACTGTTGTCTGCTGAATCATTCTTGATTACACCTGTGAGAGGATACAGTGGTTATCCAACTAAACAATGAATTTTGGCTGGTTTATTTTATGATGATTTAAGACAAAGTGCTGCTGTACTGGTTTCCACAGTCTGCTGTACAACTGAGATTGTCACGACAGTATAAGATGCTGAAAAAGTTGTATAGGTTTTGGTCAAACACCAGTTTCTGAGAGACAGTTTTACAGTACTGTACTTTCTGTATTTCCAAGGATGTCTGCTCATAACATTAGAAAATCTGAAGTGTGATGATGTTAGTCATGACTGTTTCTTTAGGCATTTGGCAAAATACACATACGTATAACAGCTATTTTTAACATTATTGAATGTTTACATATATACAATCTGTATACTGAGATTATAAACACGTAAGGTAAAAAAAAAAGATATAATCTTTGTTTGTTTGCCATTTGTGTCAAATAGTTGCTTTTCAAAGCTTGAAATCCTGTCACAAAAAAAAAAATCCTATATTTCTTACTCCTGCATGCTAATCTCTACTACAGTATGTTGTTTTTCCCTTACATGTGGAAAGTAAAGAACACAAGGTTCATGCATACAGCATACAAGTTTACATCAGCTGGGCTCTCCATGAGGCACGTTCCCAGTTCCACTCTGGTCTGACTCAGGAGTGCAATAAACCAGAGAAACACCTCTCTTACACAGGAGTGGCAAATGGACTGCAGTTGGGATTCTAGGTCACCATGTGGAACAGCCTTGTCACATCTGGGCTAATTATTCTCTGTCAAATGCTATGATTTTGGTTGTGCATCATATCCATAAAATACAAGTCAACAAAAAAGAAAGAAAAAAAAAATACTGTTTTTTTCCTTTCCACATGACAGGAGGTTATCACTGCGATATCACGGGCACGTCTCTTGGTCTTTCGAATTGTCTGAAGAGCAGATGAATGTGCAGTGACTCAGTGATGCTGAGTTTCTATAAAATCCAAAGTAAACAGTTCTGATGTGACCCCAGGAAAACACTGCAGCTAGATGGATGTCTCCCATAGCTGGAGAGGGGGGAAAGGAACACAAATACACATTTAACACCAACATAAAAGAGGCTGTCACCCAAACAGTGCAAGGAGCTTGTTTGGGGAACTGCATCTACATCACTTGGGTCATCAAATCTCCTCCCAGCATCTGGTGGGTTTGTGTTCACCAAGTGAGCAGACAGTCTTGAGCATTTCAGCACGACTTGCAGTCAGCATAGTAAATGCCCATGGCTGGGAGTTCAGTTTTCTTTTTAAAAGAGAAATGTCAGTGTAGCATCAAATTTGTACTAGATAGCTTTTACCTTAGACTTACACTAATATTAGTGGAGAGATAACTTCCCATTTTCATCTGCCTAACTCTGCTCAGAGCAGCATGACTTGCTGCTGTGGGTTTGAGCTGCTGCCAAAGCAGCTCCAGGGCTGAGACACATCAGTACAGCCCAGGCTCCAAGCTGCCTTGGGAGACCCTGTGCTGCACCTCACACAATCTTCTGCCCCAAGCAGCACTGGGGGAGCAGCTTGCAGGTTCCCTCAGCAGCACTCCGTTCTTTTTTTCTTGGAAAAAAAAAGGACAGAGAACAGTGATGAGAATCTCATCAGCATCAGCAACATGAAGCAAGGGTATTGCAAATAAAGCTCCTAAATGTCAGGACTTTTTTGCTTATTCAAATACCTGTTATGTCTGAATTGACATAAAAGAAATAAAAGTTTTTTGGAGCAGCTGAAAATCTCTATATGAGGTGTTACTATCCACCACACATTTCAGGAGCTCCTGGTCACTCTAGGGAGACCAGGCTGGGCTCAGGTCACAGAACAGTGAAGTCCCTCCAGCCCTGCAAGCACTCCACATGCTGCATAACTGGAAATTTTTACATTTCCATAAAGCTGGGAAGTAGCTATCCCAACCGCCTGAATGAGAGCTGCTGGGAGAAGGGTAGGAAAGGAGAGCCAAATACACCACTTGCTCCAGGGCTGCCTGTACTCTGCAGACCAAGCTGTCCAGGGCACATTTTCAGTTTGAAATAAGAAAAGTAGTGAAATCTGGGCTTCAGGGCAGCTTTATGAGCAACCTGACAAGCTGCCTATAAACACAGCTGTCAAGGCCTTCATCGCTGCCAGTGGCTCTGCAGCTTCAGAACTTCAGGGTGCAAAGGAAATGCCATTCCAGCTCTCCTTGTTGGTCAAAGGTGTTGATCCGCCACAGTTTCCTTTTGAAAAACATACCAGTAAATCAAGACACTGGTGAAATGCAGAGAGAAGAGGGACACATACCCTGGCACTTTGCCTGTTGACTTTTTTCTCTTCATCAGGAAGTGGTGGCATCGGGTAAGGGTATTTTCTGCTGGAAGCAATAGATCCAGTGGATGAAGACGGAGACTTTGCAGGAGACAGTGTCCTGAGATGTTGAAACACATAAAATAAACGTGATGTCTTTGTATTCTAGCACTGCAACAGCAACTGCCATTACTCTGAAGCTTGGTTCAGAGCCAAGAATATAGCTTATTATTAGCTCAATATCAACGGGATTAAATTGCTTGATCAATAGTCTTATAATTTCATTATATTAATAAAGGTATTTAGAGATTTCAGGAACACTGGAAGAAAAATATTTGCTACTTCTTATTAGAATTGTATAACAAAAATTATTTCTTAAACTGTTTTATATGGTAATGTAATTAATCATTATTAAATTATTAGAAAACAAATCTGCAATTGAATAAATACAGAACTAAAGGATAAACATGGCATTATAAAGCCTAAATAGAAACAGAAATTGTATAAACACAAGCTGAACAAATATCTTCTCTCAGTGACTAAATGGCAATTATGTGTCTTTATGCATATCTTACACATCTCCTAAATTGATACAAACATAGCAAATAAATCTATTATTGTTGTAACATTAATTTACACAAATGCATGCATTTGGAGGCCAAACTGTTAGTTGTGAAGTAACAAAGGCATATACAAAGTGCTAATAACAAATTGTTATACATGCAAGCATCATACAGTGCATATTGTTCCAGCCAAAGAAAGAGTCTGATGAGAATATACAAAAATGGACTGATTAGTCAATGGCAATCAGCATTTCTGTACAAGGTGAGTAGAGTAAGCAGGAGCAAGTAAATGTTTGTATCACATGAAAGGCATTCTTTTCATGTCAATAAGGCAACAGCACATTATTGACTGAAATTTTATACCCAAGAAAAACTCTTATGCTTCTGTTTTGAGATTCTGCACTTTTCCCACTTGAGAGGCTCCTATCAGACTCTAAATCTGGGCAGAGTAAAATGAAAAAAAGGCCTCAAAGTAGAAAAATTGAGCTATCCTGGCCACCTTATTCTCTTGTGCAGACCAAGGGCATCCACCACAGGAGGCCTCTTAATACTGCAAGCACATCACTCAGCCCTCCCTGAGCACTGCAGTTGAGTATCTTCTGAGTTAAGGTGTCCCTGAAGATGGAAAGTTTCCATAATAATAAGTGAAATTTATTTACCTTTAAATAACTGTACTTTTATTTTGGATTATTGTATCATTTTGTTGTGTCTGTAGCTCCCTACAATAGCAGATTCTTTTGCCCCCGATACGAACAATGACTGATGGTAGCCACAAGCAACAAGGTGTCAATGGAAATTATATGATGAGAGCTCTCCACTCTGGCTCATGATCCTCTAATGCCTCATGTGGTAGCCTCTAAGTTCAACAGCACTTAAAAGATCTACATTGATACAATTATCCAAACATGGAAGCATACGTCTTCAGTACCTGCACATTGATCACCCATTAAGATGACTGGACATACACCAATGTTTTCAGGAAGAAAAACCCTGAAACAGTTACTGCAGTATAAAACAAGTTTTTTGTATGTCCAGCATCATAGACCTGGGCACCAAACTGTGCATGGAAGAAAACAGGTTAATTTAAAAAAATAATTCCAGGGAAAGGTTGTCAACAGTGCCCTGTTGCTCACTGTCCATACAAGTCCACTCATCTCTGCCCCCACTTGGACTATCACTAACAAACTATTTGTGGATTGAGAATGAAGAATATAAGGAAAAGAGGGAAGGGGGGAATAAGGAGAGCAGATTTTACATATTATTAGTAATCCAATTATTCACAAATGTTACCCCATTGCTGCAGTAGAATTTTAAATTTTCATTTAAAAAATTGTAACAATGCACTTGGAGATCAAAAACAAGGAACTGAGCTAGTGGAATCTGACTTGGCAAGCCCTATCAGAAAGCCATTTATAAGGTGGCACAACCTGGGCTACCTTATATGAATGAAGGCATCTCCCATCTCTTTCACCACACCAGGCACAACACTTCCAGCATAGCACAGGCACTTCACATTTTAGAGACTCTAAGAGAAGGCCACAGTGAGAGGAAAAGCCACAACCAATTTTCCTGTCCATCCATCTGAGCAGGTGACCCTGGAAGGAGTAATAATCCCCTGAAGGATGGGGCATCTTGAATATTTTCCCTGCACATGCAGGTCCTCTGCCCAGGATCCCTAACTGAGCCTTTCAGCCAGGAAGCTTTGCACCATAATCAAACACAATGCTGCCTTTTCCAAAGATTTTGAAGGCCAAGCCTCCAGCGTAGCTGGCTACGTATCCTGCTTCTCAAAGGCCCTTTGCACTGCCTGCTCACCTGCAGTTTGCACACCTGACCGATGTGAGCTTTGCTGCTCAGCTGCACCTGCAACTCTGCAGCCAGTACATGGAGAATGCAGTTGCACACTTAGAGAAATGACCTTGCCCTCCCCTCACAGGGCCTCACCACTCATTTTTGTTATAGAGTTAGGTGCTGGTTTTTGTCATCTTTAGTGCCAGCTACTGACACTGTGAGCATACACGACTCAGCGTATGCTCACAGATCTTACAGTGTGTCCTCTGTGATAAACATTGTTTGAGGTGGTTTTGATCACCTTTCAGGTTGTGCCCTGCAATTGTGTATGTGCTGTGTATCCCAGATTTACATATACTTTAAATGAGAAAGGTCATATCTCGCTCTTTCTCATTTACAGGATGGAGAGACAGCATTCAGGGACACTTGCAGGTAATGCTGGGGTTAAAGGTAGGAAAACTTGGCAGTTTTGGTCAAGGGTGGGATCCACTTAGCTTTCACTAGGGTTTCAGTTCTCCTACAATCAAATCCATTAGCTTTCATGCCAAATGTTGCTTCCAGATGAAACTTACACAACAAACCAGTACACACCAGGACAGAGATTCAGAGGTTTTACTGCCAACCCCAAATGAAGCCATGCACCTCACCTGCAAAAAATCTAATTTTTGAACAGAAAGCAAGATAGAGCAACCACTTTGTGTCTTTCTGTCCTGAAAGCTAAAACTAAGAGTGTGTGGAGACCATTCTGTGATTCACAACAAACACTATGGCAGCAAGAAGACATCTGGAAGCAGTCCCTGCAGCCTTGGGTCTACCTGCTTGGCCTCCCGTCCCTAAACAGCAATGTTGGCCCACAAGAAATAGTGCAAAATGTGGCACCTGGTCACACAACTAGCATCTTGCAATTTTGAGTGTCATTTGAACTGAACTCAAGGCAGGTGGCCCTGACAGATCTGAACTGTTCATAAACTGTGAGTGATTCTCTTTTGCAGACTGAAATAATGAAATTCTATTAACCTTCAACTTGGTGAAAGTGTTGAAAGCTCAAATATAAACCTTATCAGCCTAATCTAACCTTTGCTGCCGTGGATTCAGCTCTTTGTATGACATCATCAGGCTAGATCCTCCATTAGGAAGTTAGGATCTTCTAAAAACACTGGTGTGGCTAAACATTTTAAAGTAAGTTCCTTTTTAAAGCCACAGATGTGCACACATGTCCTCGGAAAGAGCAGCAGCAGAGGGGAGAGGAGGCTGATGGAGAGGCTGCAGAAGAGACAATGATTATGGCTTGGGGTGTCACTTGGAGCAGTGAGCTATGCCTCAGAAGCAGGAACTCACATGCTTCAATGAACCCTCCTCCCTAACACTTGAAACAAAATCCTGATCCTACTGACAGCAGTAGGCATTTTTTCATTGCCTGCTAACAAAAAACAGTATTTTGCTTTGGTTGTAATAGGGAAAAGGCTTGCTTGTTTGGTTTTTTTACTTTAAGCACAGTCTAGAGCTGCCTCAGCAAGAGCAGATTGCCTAGGGCTGGTCATGGCTCTGCTTCAGCTGGATGCTCACAGAAGAAGGTAATGGAGATGGTCAGCTGAAGAGGAACTGAGAAAAAATCAAGGACACAAAAGTACATTAGAAATAGGAGGGAAGTGGCACCCTACTGTGTCCTTCTCCCATGCCCCTTCTCAATGCCCTTCTGATACAGGACAGCCATTTTCCTTCTGGGAAAAGTGATCTGGGTCTCCATCTAAAAAAACCCTTTGTTTGTAAACAACTTTTGTGTTTAAGTAACTCATAAAATATAACTTATTGTAAATATCTGCATTAAATCAAATGTAGGTGGCTCAACGCTTTAGAAGGTGCTTTTCTAGTCTTTTTTGTTTATAATTATCTCCAGAAATGTCATGTTTGGGATTTCTATCAGTTTGTTTTCTGATTCCATCATGGCTCCATCAAGTCTTTCAGATTCAGTGAGAATTCTGAGTAATTGTTAACAATATATCAGAAGGTCAGCCTGTGCAGTGGACATTGTAATTGGCAGTAACAAGAATAAGCAGTAGTAGCACATTCATAAAATAATGTTCCATACAGCAAAGCTAAAATCAAGGTGAGGCTACCTGCCTGATTTTATTGCTGAGGTTATGTGGTTATTGCCTGGCACACAAAATTAAAATCTAGACTAGATTTTGAGCAATAAAATGAGAGTTCTCTTCACAGATCTTATATTCTTACAGAAAGGAATCCCACACTAGGGAGATTTCTGGTGCCAGAGACACCAGCTACTATTATTACTATCATAATAAAAAGTAATTATATAGAAATACCCATCAGGCTTGTAGACTAGAAAAAAAATTACTAGTAAGTCAGATATTAGAGAGACAAATTATGATTTATACAGGGTTTTTAAAGTAGATGGAAAAAATCTTGGTGATGACTAATATCCCTATATTCTGAAAATTTTCAGCTTTCCTAGAAAGTATTTCTTGTAATTTTTCCTTATTCTGTTTCAACTCTTCCTACAACATCACCAGTCATCAGCATATTATTCCTAAAGCTACAGGGGAACAAGCAAAACAACAGTATTACTTTCAGGACACATATAAAAGAACAGAGAAATCAAAAACAGCAACATGAAAATTACTCAGCTAAATATCTGGTGTAAATGTCTTATCCTGGGACTCAGACTCATAAAATAAAGTACCAGGTGGACAGTCTGACTTCTGCCTGATGCTCTAGTTCATCAAGGAGGATCTGTTTTGCTCTGTTTGTGCATCACTTCACAGGCCCAGGCTCAAAACCCAGCCACAAGATGTTCTGACACACCATTCTTAAGAACAGTCTTTTCCTGTCTATGCTATCATTAAGCAAAATTGCATCTGATTTTTGTGGAGAAGCATTTAGTTCAACCTCTTGTGAACCCACAGCAACTCATCTCAGGAGATCTGATCTTTTCCCTTCTATAATGTATCTGCAGAATACTTCTCTATGACTGCCTCATTTAATTAGGACAATACAGATTTCTAAATTTATTCTAGTTGCTCTGATTTCTAAGGGTAACTGCTACAGGCAGTGATTAGTAGGCTTCTGTGGTGCAAAAAATTTGATTTATCTCTGCTGATATATAGCCTTTGAAACTCACATGGGTCAGCTTAATCCTCATCTACATGCCAAAAATGCTTGGTTTATCTCAAATACAATTAGAAATGTGACTCATTCAGTGTAACAGCTGAATACCCTCGGGGCAGGACACACTCCTATCAATTTAATGTAGTTACTAAATAAAAATATACTGATATTAAAAAATGAAAACCAAATTATGAGTAAGAAAACAAAATTTTAACCCTGTTTAACTAAACCATTTCAAGTAACCTGTATTAAAACAGTACTATCTTCATATTCCATCTATGTCTTTGTTTATGGCTACCACAGGGCTTCTGATATAAAAACCCTGAAAGACAGCTATGGGGTTATGTTATGGTGGGCAGATCTTGACCTTGCCTGAACAATAAAGATCAAGAGGCTATATTTAGAAAAGGTTTTGGTAATCACACACCTCAATTCTTATGTGAGTTTGCCTAATTTCAGCTTCCAGTGACCTTTGGTCATTATCAGTCTTAGTTTACAAATCTAAAGGAACCTCCCCACACAGAGATTTTGCTCCACATGCAATGATGTGGACTTCATGATCAGGTAAGTGTTCAGCTGCTCCCTTAAACTGAACAGCCTGAGGCTCTCCAGTCCTTTCTATGGTTTTTCTGGGCTTAGATCTGCCCAGGTCTAGAACGTGCTTGCTGAACTGCAGACACCACACCTGGACCTTGTATCCCAGTGCTGAAGCAACCAGACTCACAATACTCCCTGCTGGAATATCCAAGTACTGAGACCTGTCTGATACCAACAGGCACAATCAAAACAACCCCCTGTAAGCCTTGGATTCTTGCATCAGGGATCTCTTCTCCTTTTTCAGGATTGAGATCAGGGCTAACAGACTAGAGTTTACTCATTTTTCCTAACTGTTCACTGGAAACCTTTGTCTGTGATTTACGAGGTGTTGAAAACAAACAGAAATGGTTTTTAAAAGTAATAATTTTATGGTGTTTTAAGACTTAGGGACATTTTTAGTTCTAAAAATGACAAAATTCCTACCCTGCATTTAATGTCTGCCAGTGTTACTATTGGAATAAAAGTGTTTCATTAGCACCCCCTGATACAACTCCAATCACTTTTTTTTCCCAAATGCACACTGCACACATTTAGTATGTTTCTGCCCTGTTGCACTATTATTAGGTCTGCTGGTGTGGCAAAATGATTAAGATTCTATTTACTTGTTCTTACCATCCTTCACTGTTTTAGCTAAAGATTTTGCTTATTAATCTTTTGATTTGTGTTTCTGCTACTATCTTCTTTTTTGATAAGTGAGATAACAGCTTCATGGATTTTGTTCATACTTTATGTTATTTGTCATAAATTGTCTTCCATTCTCTCCTGTGCTGGTTCATTTCTTCAGCTGGTGGAGAGATCTGTCTCAGCTGTGGGACTGTATCTTTTGGGAATATACTGCAACATTCTCAGTCTCTTGACTCCTGTCCAACAGGGGCCAGCCTAATGCATGCTTTTTCTCTGTAACTTAGACTGTACCAGATAATGCACACTTTTCCCTTTCAAAAACAAGTTATATTTTTGGTTGAACCCTACCTCACTTGTAACAGATTAATCAGCATTTTGACAATTAGAGCAGAGAGTATATTCTCATACATTTAGTTTTCCAATGACAATATATAAATTATTTCATTGCAGGCTGAGGGTAAAATACCACTACTTTTTAGTCTTTTTTCATTTAAATTTTAGTATGCACTATATAAGACAGTAGGTAGAGTCAATGTGTTATGAAACCACTTGCTTCAGTAAATTAACATTCTATTTAAGTTAATACTATTTTATTAGTGATAAATATGTCTCATGCCCATAAAACATTATTTGGCATAAAATGATGAGAAAGCTACTACAAGCTATAGATGATGGTGGGAACGCATGCACTACACACACCCTTTTCAATGGCTTCATCAGAACATTCAGAAAAAGAATTGTAAATTGCACATGAAGCCAAAAACAGACATCAAAATGCAGCAAAAGAAGAGGGGCCCTTTGCACCTAAGTAACTTGTATTGATTTATACAAGATAGGAGTCCCAATATATTTGTATATGCTGAAACAGCTCTAAAAAATGAGAATTATAGAATTAATTTACAAAATACCTAAAGTATGGTCCTTCTGTGTTTTTATTCACATCTTCTACCCACTTAGCTACATTATATTCTCTTTTGAACCATGGGTTTAAATACCTGCAGAAAGCAATGGAAGGAACAGAGAAAGCAGAAGAACAAGAATAGAAAATCTGAGAACACACAGCACAAGCTTAGCAAGGATGTCTTCATCCCCAAAATGCAAGTGAATATGGCAAATAAATCAGTATGGATTTGGGTGAGGACTAGGTAATGTGTACAACTGCATGAGAAAATCTGACCTACAACAAGACTCATGTTTGATTAATCTGGAAATTCTTTGAGATACGTCATTCATTTAATGTCTTAAGGGTAAAATTCACTCCTGTGCAGAGGGCCAGCATTAAGCTCATGGTTTGAACTCCCTCATGATTGCAAAATTAGGATCAAGGGGCATTTTGGCTTCAGTCGTGATGTTTGCTTGTCAAAGACACACTTTTAAACCCATCTAGATAAATTGAAAGATAATGGCTAAAAGACCACAGAATCCTGGGCTTGACCCTTTTTACAGGAATGAATTTCAGCCTCATTGTTTTAAAAGATTTGAATTTTTTGCCACTGTAGTGACAATTTTTACGCTTACAGGCAAACAACCCTCGGAATTTTTAATGTTCATTTAGTTTGGCTTTAATGGAGGTAGGCTGTAGAGTTATCTCACATTTTACAGAAGCAATATTGACACCAAAACCACATTTTTTAGGAAAAAAAAAGTCTGAGTTGTATACTCATATTAGTTACATGAAAAATTATGAAATAAAGATGATGTTTAATTATCTGACAACAAATTACCAAAGAAGAAGAAAACTTTTTTGTAACAAATTTTTCCCAATAACAAGATAAGTAAATTCCTCCCCCTCAGTCTTGCAAACAAAAAAGGGAGATGCAGAAAATAGTAGTCTGCCTGGACCAATTTAAAGTTTGTTCTCATCACATATGAATGGCAACAATCAAATGATTATTTGTGACCACTGTCTTTATACAATAGAAACTAGCACAATGATATAGGAAACAAATTTTAACCAAGGAAAATGGGAAAGAAAATTCCTCTTTAAGTTATTTTTGATACTTCTGGTCCAGTTCTTGCCAGCCATATTTATGGGAGTGACTCCAATGACCTCACACATGGGAACAGGCCTTGCAAGTTATTGCTCAGATGAATAAAAGTTGGCCAAATCATGTCATTCAACCCCCTCCATATTTCAAACAACAATGACAACAAAAGCAGCAGCACTTTTTCAACTTCTTTTGCTCCTTTTTTGCTCTGGAACGTCTCCTCCCCACCCCGCGCAAGCACAGCCACAGCTCTCAGAAAGTACTCGCCCTCAGCCATAAGTGCTTCTAAGTAGCTTCCTCAGCTCGCTTATCTCTCAGGAAACGGGAGTGCTTTATGCTTTCCAGCGTGGGGTCTTAGAGAAAGAAAACGTCAAAAGCAGTAGCGTAGCAAAACAGATGAACCACAAGTGAAGCAACAGGCTGATGCCAGCATCACCAGGAGCTAATAAAGTTCTGCTTTAGCTTTAATTGTACATTTTCTTGTACTTGCTGCAATACTTTAAACTTGCAGTTTTTCATTTGAAAGGGTCTTTTGGTAACCATGAAACACTCCCAGTCTGGCTTCTTGCATTAGAAAACAGTGTAAAGTGCTATCAAAGCATGCAATTGTTGCACAACCATGTTGCAGGGATTCCTGGGTCAGGGTGTATTACAGACCATCATTCACCACCTCAATCCATCTGTTACAAAAAGGTTAAACTTAAGTTACTGCAGACCACTACATGATACCATTGGAAAGCCCTCAGGCTGATCTTTCTGGCCACATGTTCATTAGTAATGGCCAGAATCCACATATTCTTTGGGTGAGAAATTCTGCTTTGAAACAAGGTGTCCTTACGCATAAGCCTAGAGCTAGACCGACAGCTCGATTTGGCTCGTAGCGCAACATGCAACAAGGCAAAAGACCTGTGCTCAAGAGTACTCGTACTCCTCAGGCTGGCGAGGAGGAAGGGTAGCTAGCGCTGCATCAGCAGGAGCACCTCCAAGCAGTCACAGTGTTTTGCCACAGTGAAACTATCAGATACTAGGGAAGGGACTTTTCACGGGACAAAATGGCAGCCCAGAATGCAGGGGCAGGTGAGACTGACCTGTGATCCCGACTCCCTGTTTGGGGGTGGTCAGAACCCCCTGGGCTTATGCCTTGGGCAGAGATTTGGTGGGCGAGAGAAAGCCCAGGCTCAGATGCATGGGTTACCCGGCTGCAAAAAGACAATATATAATAGAAAGTCTAAACCAAAGATGTTCGTATCAGTTACAACAACGAGGAAGATAAATGCTTATAGGAAAAGCAGTGCAAATTAACAAAGGTCTGAATTGCTATCTGTTCCTGGGACCTGTTTTAACACAAGATCCCAATTAAACTGTCAACTTATCCAGGAAACTCTCATCATTCCTGGATAATTCTAATTTTATTTTAATAGAGAACTATTTATCAGGCCATTTCATCAGCCATGTTTCTGAAAAAGCATTTGGCCTGTTGGCATTCCTTCCACATGTAATGAACCATCTGCCTTTAGTAAAGAATAATTATTTTGTCATCAAACATCCAAAAACCATTAAAAATCTCTCATTAGTAGTCTCCTCAGAGCTCTATGCATAGCATAAGCCTTGTTCATGTATGCTAGGTCCAAAGGTCACCCAAAGGTGTGAGCAGGATATTTTTCAGGAGATGCCCAAAGTGTTCGCAACTTCCTGCTCAGTGCTGCAGGCTTCAAACCTTGCTCAGTCCTTAAGAAATTTTGTTTAAATGATTAATGGCACAATTCCATTTGATTCTTGGCTGTATACAAAAAAAAAAACCCTATGCATAATGTTAGCAGTTACTGCAGACCCATGCTTACAAGTATCTTTGTAGGCAACCACACCAGTGTGCTCCTGCTTAAAAAAAAAATAATTCTGCACAAGGTGTGGCATTAATAAACCAAATTTTATAATAGTTTACTACAGTCTGCTAATTACAAGAGACCAACACTGTTATCCCTTTTCTTCCATATCAACAAGCATGCTTTACTGGACTCCTAAAGGCCACACAAGCTGATTTTCTAAATACCGCTTCAGAACAGATTTCAATATTATTCTGTATTTCGCAGGCAAGGTAGAGAGGTAAAAAGGGAAAAGCCTCCATGTATTCTGTAGCATCCTCAAAGCAGCTAGTGTCACTCTTTTTTTTTCCTAAATGACTAGATGCTGGTCACAGTTAGATCATTCTCAGTCCAGTTTCTCTCCTTGCAAAACAAGCTGTCCCTCTAACCAGAGAGATAATTGCTCTCTAACAGCCCTGGTGTTCTCTCCATTCCCCACTGAACTGACATAGAATGAGGATCATTCCGTGGGAGCTCTCTCTCCAGCTGGTGACAGGACTGCCAAGGAGACTCGGACAAGCCATTCAGGCCTGTGCAGGCCTGATCAGGAGAAAGAGTATTTCCCTGCCTGGCAGGCCTCTCCCAGGAACACACACACTGTGCTTCATCCCCAAAAGGTTGCTGCATGGCCCTTGGGAAGTACAAGCCTCCTCCCTGTAGCATCAGGGCTGCTGGGTTGAGAGACCACCATAACAAGCAGCAAGAAGAAATGCAGAGAATTAGGTGGAAATTCAAGGGCGCCTTTAAAAGAGGAACAAATATACAGGGAAAAATATTTCCAACTCACAATATCTCTGTCTGCCTGCTTATTTAATGCTCCAAAGTTCTCAGAGCAAATCTCATTTGTGTTTTTGGCAGTTCGGCCAGACTAAGTTTGATTTTATCAAAATATCTCATGCAAGGAGAAAAGAAAATAAGCAAACATTTCAGAGTTTATCAGCACAAAGGCAAAGAGCACAGAGACTCTTGAGATAAACTCCTCCAAGGGCTAAAATTTCTGATTCCATGATGCCATTTTGGCCATGCAATGTTAAAATTGCAATGTGCACTGAAGTATTGTTTCTGTAACTTGTAACATAGGGTTTTCTCTAGGAACCCTTTTTGAGCCTACTAACCTCAAGACAGTACACTGCAGGTGAAAGAAAAGTTTCAGAACTAACTCAAAATCCCCAAACCAAAGAAAAGGGGGCCCAGAGAGCAATTAGCATTATCAGTTTCCAGCAGGGTTGGTATCAAGCCCATTTGCCCATCAAGGTGCAAAGTTAGTAGTCATGACATGGGGAAGGACACTGTCACTGCCATCATGGTCAAAGGAGGGGCCATTCATGTGGGGTGGAAGTGCTGTAAGGGCAGGCCAGTGCTTTTGATAAGCCCAGAGGTTTCCAGCCATTCACCACTCATTCAAAAGAGGGGCCTGAACCAACAGTACATCAGAAAGGCTCTTTCTGTGTGGAGAGCACTGCACACATGGGCTCTTCAGGAAACGTAACCAATAAATCAATAAGCCAAAAACTCTAAGCTGTAGTGGAAAAGTCTGGGGATCAGTCACTTGGTAGAGACTTTAATTACCCATTTATCGCAGGGCTTAGTCAAGACTGGCTGTTTCAGGCTTGCAATGGCAAACTTCAAGGCACTCTCAAAGCAGACAGATACCTCTCCTAAAATCTCCAGGAAAGTATGCAGAGATACAAATCTCTAACTCTGCAATGGCCCAACCCAAGGTGAAGACAAGGGTAGGAAACAGTCAGGTTATCAGAAACTCAGTATTGAACCAGGATACACTCAGCAATGGCAGTTTACTGTAGACAAAAGCCTGCAGTGATGGTGCAGGCTGCCACCATCATTGGGAATTGCTATGGGAACGACTGTGAGGAAGCCTACATAAAAAAAGAAAATTGATAGTTAATTTTTAAAGAATACATAAAAAGAGGTTGAAATACATTAGCCAAGCCATTTACCAGATTATCAGTCAGCAAACAGAATGGGCCACAGAGCAAAAATGCAGCTGTCTACTTTAAGTAGTTTTAATTTCCATCTACAAAACACAAATATGAAAACTACTTTTTGTCTTTGCTTTTTTAAATTCAGACTTACTCAGTTGAATTAGACCGTGGCCTAAATCTTTTGCCTCTGACTTTCTTTCTGTTTCCTCCTATATTACCTGAAAGAAATCAAAGGACAAAGACAGTAAAACAACTTGAAACTCACCTGCCCCATGCCAAACCGTATATTCTTTTTGCATCCATAGCAAAATACTTGCTACCTTTAAACCATTAACCTTTAGCCATTTAAATCTCACAGGTCTGCTCCTCTTGAATTACCTCAGACACTTAGGTAACCTTTCTCTACTTTTTGCTACAACTGTACAGGGAAAAAAACTCCTTTATTTCAGCTGTTATTTGACAAAATCACTACACTTCAAGAAAAACACCTAACACTGCCTGATAAAATCACAGAAACTAGCAATAGTGAATAGATTTCTTTCTCTTTTTCATGTTAGCTCACACTGGAGGGAGAAATTAAGTGCAATTTTTTTTTTGTGACAAAGCACTGTGCAAAAAAGGCACTTATGTCGGGTGCTGCTAAATTCTAATTCCAAGTTAATAACAATTGGCACAATTTTAAGGCGTCATGCTGCTATCCTAAGATCAGCTAAACTTTCAGCAGAGCAGTAGTGGTCCAGAGGCTGGTTTCCACCGTGGCCAGCACAGTGGTTCACACTTACCTTGCCAAGAATTACTCCTAGGCCTCCCATTTTCACAAATGTCTGAAATATGTTTTGTGTCTGGGATCCTTTCACTCCAGGAATGAGATAATCCATTTGACCTGGAATAGGAGGGCTCAGATGCGGTTATTGTTAAGGGTATTGTCTCACATCAATGTTAGCTCAGTGGTTTGGTCACATTGCCGAGGCCGGTGACAAAACACAGCCTAAGGTCTGTCTGCACTAGCAGAGCACCTAGGATTTCTGATTAAACTCTGCACCTTGCAGCTGTCCCTGCAGTGGTTCCATGTGCCCACATTCAAGAGCCAGGCATCCGCACTGCTTTCTCACTCGTCTGCTGTGGAATGCACAAACACCGGCGCACACCAGACTTTCTTTTGGATTTGCAGCTCTGCCTCAGTTCCTAGATGGAAGATGCTTTTACTACTGTGCTCATTTCAAGGCTTTTTCATCTCACAGTCAAGCACATCCCGCCTGCAGGCTGCCCACTCCCTCCTTATGCTGCTGCAGGAAAGCTAGGACAGCTTCCCTCAACCCACTGCTGCCCGTCTCAGGGGCCCAGGAATTGGTGACGAGCATCCTCCCACCCAGAGCTGGTAGTGCCATGGGAGAGGTAACTCTGCCTCATTTTTGCTAATTTTCAACGTTTATATTTTATCAGCCAATTGCTGCAATATATACTTCTAGTGCTAAACTCAAAGCCAAAACTAGTCTTTTTATCTAGGTGCTTGGTGCAAACTATTTTTTCTTTCCTCTTGCATTCCTTTTAAGAGCCAGAGATGTGTGGTGATGTCCAACATGTAGGGTTTTGCAACAAGCTGCCTCTTGTTGAACTAGAGCTGCTGCTCAGCTGTTTGCCATGAGATCTATATTTCCAAAAAAGAAGAGGAAGTTGAAAAATCCACAATAGACGGTTTACGTATTACAAACTCTTGCTTAAAGGAACTTTTTTTGTAATTTTTAAGTCTGGATACTTGCATTTTTCAGTCTCTGCTTTCCTTGGGGGCATCTGAGAGATATTCTTCAGTTTTCAGAAGCTCAGGCTAATCACAGCCACACTGAGGTGAGCCCAGGGTGTCATTAATTCAAACTTAATCACATCATGAAAGATCTGACAAATAACAGATCCACTGTTTTCAAACACTTCCTCCTCCTCCTCAAGGTCTCTTTCAGGTTCGGGAATGTCTTGATATATAATGGTTTTGTTGCTTGCTATTTCATAATAGCAAGAGTTACCATGAAGTTATGTCTTAATCCTTGAACATCCTCTGAGTACCAGCTAATATTCCATAGTGCTTTCCAGCATGGAGAAGCCCAGGCAGCTGATGGCCCAGTCACTCTAACATCTCCCAAGAGATGCCATCCATACCAGCACACAGAGCAAATAAAAACCCGCTTGGAAGGTAGGAGGTAGCACTCTGGGAATTCAAATGGAAGGACTATGTCAGCTGTATCACAATGTTAATGGAATATTTGTCAGACTTACTTTTCCAGACTTGACAGTGGCACAACATACCTGAACTGGTGGTGGGAACAACAAAACTCTCTAGTACAGACAGACCTTAGAAACCATTAGCTTTTTGGAACAAATAATAAAGAGAGACACATGAAATAAATGAAGTATGAAAAGAAACACAGATACTGTATGAAAGAAGAAACACATTAAATTACAGTATTTAAAAATAACTTCTTTTTTAACTGGTATTTAAACCTGATAGACAAAGCTATGAAAACTTGCTTTCCCAAGACTTTATTTCAAAATTTTAACCAAATTTTTAAAGATTCTCTAACACAAACAGTGCATAATTAAAGATTAATGCTCGCTTCTTAAAAAAAACACAACACACTCATCTAAAAAGCTGAATTTAAAAATTAGAGATAATAAAGTAACCACCACTGGAGTTTCCCTAATAACATAATCATTAGAACAAACTGAATGAAGTTGTCTATAAGATCAAGCTGCTATACCAGAAGATAAAATGTCACTACATATGTGCCCCTTCCATACATTTTCTTAATTTTAATTGAAATAATAGCAAAGAAAACGGCTTCATCAACTGCACAGTTGTAGGCTGCTTAGTGGGACAAGAATTAAGAATTGCAGTTTTCCTGTGAACCAGCTCATGACTGTCAATTCCTCTAGGACACAGTGCTTCTCACAGTGCTCTTTTACAGTGCTAGCTGAAGATTTTCACATAAAGAATCTTTAACTGCAGAGGAACAGTGAGCATCATGATCTTAGCAATTACAAATGGCTCTTAATGCTTTTAAATGAATCTTCCCTTTTAAAATGTTGAATTTTTTAGGCAACTGGAACAATAAAGGAATTAGTGAAATTTGATCAAGGGCAAAAGCTAATTCTCTCTAATCTAATGACAGCAAGCAAAAAACTGCAGAAAGTCTTTGTAGAATTATTTTCTAAGATAACACTTGGTGACCATTTAGTATACTAGTCTAGTAAGTGGAATAAAATGCAATCACTATCTTCTTTAATATGAGACAGCAGAAGTCTAAGTCAACACACTGGATTAATTACACTGACAAATAAAGATATAAAAATACATTTATATTTAACATTTTATGTTTATAACTATTATTGAAGAAAGACAATGCTCCTTTTCTTTGATTACATGACATTGATTTAAAAAGTTGTTGGCATTCTATTTGATTTTTTTTCAGCCAGCAATTATTATTTACAGTATACTTGAAATCAATTTTCAAGCAGGGATATAATGCAAATTTTATTAAACAAAAATTGGTTTACAATGCAAATTTTTTTTTATTCTGGCCTAATCATACTAATTAGCAACTAGGACACAGGAGAAAAATCAGTAATCAAAGCAAAAAGGATGCTATTTCAAACATTCCACAAAGAAAGAAGAAAGAGTCAAACCTGCTGCAAAACAATGAAATGTTCTGACTAATGGAATAATGGGTGATGGAACAGGTAGAAATCTGAAAATGCGACAGAAAAGCAGACCTCTTCTTAGAACTAGATGCAGAGTTTGTGCTGACTCCAGGAGGCATGTCGCTATAAAAAGAGTCGGCCTCTCCCGGCTTTTTTACATAATCTCCCTGGGGTATTTGTCTGAAGTGTAATAAACATTGTAGAGTCAGAAAACATGACAGGAACTAGAATGCACACAAACATGCATGAACGTTAGTTTAAAAGAAAGAGGCAAGGATAACAATCCTTGAGAAAACCTGTTAACCACACACCATAAAGCTATTAAATAATTCAACCATCTGAGAGAAAACTCACACACGCTTCTGTTATGTGCAGAAGAGTGGATTATGTGGTTTTGGAAAGAGAAAACAAGGAAAAACGTTAACTCTGACCACAACTTTCAAAGTGAACAGTTAGTGATTCTTTAGACACTGGATAACCAGTCCAGACATTTCAAACAGCTCATCATGCTGGTTGCAAAAAACAATAGTACTGAGCCTAAGCTGAATACATGCCTGCATCAAAGAGGAGCTCAGGAATAGTGAATGCTTTTTTTCTTCTGAGGTAGATGCTTACCATTTAACTCTTGTGATCATGATAGAATTCAAGAGTAGCAATCTGTTGAGCTGTTTAAATCTCAGGAGGACAAAAGCCTCCAGTTTTTTAACTGAATTCTTGTATAAGATAACTAATGCCAGTGTCAGAGATTCTCAGCTACTCCTGATTACCACAGTAGTAGACTCAATCTGCCAAGACACATGACAGTAATGTAATAGTTTATCCTTTTCCAGAACTAGAAGCTCAGTTATGGTAAAAAAACAAACAAACAAAAAAACCCAACAACAACAACAAAAAACTATCTATGCATTAGAAAGTTCTAATCAAGTTATGCAAAGTTTTTGCAGATGGTGAATTCATTGCCAGCAGAGAATACCTGCCATACAAATATTCCAGTTATAGCTCCAGGTTTAAAAATCCTCCCAAGTACAGGTAATTACTTTTACAGTTGACCATTTCATAATATCAGCATCAGTATTTATTCAATTTCACACTTTCCAACACATTTTTGCTACAGTCTGCTCCAGGTTGATTCATATTCAGATTGTGTCCAACTACAGACCTAAATTGGGACCTCTCCATTCCATATCTGGATTTCTACTGCTTCTAAAGTATGTAAAGTATACAACTATATGGCACATAAATCATTAGTGCAATGCAATACTTCAATTCTTCATCTTCTAACACCTCTAGAGTTTCAGTTCTTGTCCCATTCCTCAGCTGGCACATGGGTGTGTTCAGAGTTGGCTCAGTGCGGGCAGCTCTGCTCCCCAGGGTTCCTCTACCAAACTGCTCTCTTGCTACTCCATCAGATATAACTTCTCCCATGTAGCTGTGCCCTTTAAAGCCACACTATTCCAGCTGGCAGAATCCTTGCTAATTGGCTCTACTTACCACTTACCACTTTCAGTTTACTTGTTTCAACTTGCTTAGTGCCAAGTATAATCCTTATGTCATGTTCAAAAATATTATAATGGCTTGTCTTGTTTTCATTGTTATTTAAGGAGTAATTTTTTTTTTTTTTTTTTAAGGGACTGTCTGGACAATCTGGTGGGCATGTTTTTTTTATTTATGGAGCACTCCGTGTACTAATCCAAAAGTATTCTATTTGGAAGTCAGCCTACAGAACTTCATTTTATGCATGAAGGAGATTTAGTTACTAAATATCTTCCTCATCTTTAAAATGATGGAGTCCTCCATTCAGAAGCCTCAGCTTATGTTGGTTCCCACTCTGCCTGTGCTCTCATATACAGCTGCAGACTGGCTGCACACTCACAGCTCTCTGGCCATAAAGCAATTTCTGGAGATGAAGATATCTGAAGAAGTTACATTCTCTAATATTCCAATACAAACATACATGGGGGTGGACTCTGTCTCTGTTTTGAGTTTTTTCCTGCTCTGTCCTCAGCCAATACTGAAACATCCACAGCAGAATGACTTGATGGCCATGTTAGTCTCCATTTGTAGATACATCAGTTTCCACTAAGCAGCACCAAACCCTTAAATTCTGCCGTCCTTGAGCTGGGGGGCATTCCCTACCCACCAGCCTCTGCATAAGGCTTGACTTCAATAGCGTTGCCTTTTACTTGTTACTGTACCTGTGGCCTATCTGACCCTGTAGCACACAACCAGCACTTGACAGGGCTTTTCCACTTTTTACAAATATTTTGAGCCTGGCAGAGAAAGCGCTACACAAAGGGAAATGGAGAACAAGCACAACGGGTAGCAGCAACAAACAAAGCAGCAGCTTGGAGCAGAAGGCAACAATACAGGCAGAAAACAGGGGAATTTGAGAAATCTGCTTATGTGTTGGGGACTGGGAGAGGAAGGAGCCAGTTCCTTCCCACAGGACCCATCTGCCAGGCAGATGCCTGATCAAAGGGAGGTGGTCTTCCAGGAGCCAAACATAAGTCACTAGGAAAACGGTTTATTTTTGGCCACAAGCTTGAAATGATGAGAGCTCAGCCCTGTGCTGAAGCCAGTACTGTGCTTTAGCTATGAATCAATGGAGCAGGGTGACAGGAAAGAATGGGCTCTTTGTCCACATAGCAATTTAATTGCATTGTATTTTTAACTGCAAAGAAGCTCCAGGAATTAATTTGTCTCAAAAGGCTCCTGAACATCATGTTAATATTAATTATTCAGTTCTTAGCCTCCCAAGAACACTTCCATCTCTAATAGCTGATTTTCAGTGTCTCTTACTGGAAATATTCTCCTGTTTTCCTAAATGAAACAGTCTATTGCAGAAGTATAAAAAACATAGGTTTTGCTACTGAATCCAGTGAAATCAGGATTTCAAGCAATGCATTACAGAATATTGATTTCACATATTATTTAAAATATGATAACCCATCTCAATATTTTCTTTGTAGCATGTAAATGAGCGAAAGAGAAGAAAAGCTATTTTCAGAGACTTCTAAGATACATTCCACTACTTTTATCACATACCTCTGTCTTCTGTAGTTTCTTTCCATATAAACAGAAGAGAAAGGAAGAAGAATGAGTTTTTAGTATGCAGGTACACATGGTCAGTAAGACCAAAAAATGTAAAAAGAAAAGCACTCTATACAGAATGAAATTTTTGCTCAAAATATTTCTACAAAATCACTTCTGAAATAAGCATATTCACAAATATACTACATAAGAAGTATTATACATTAGAATTAAATAGAAAAATATAATCATGTTGATGGTTCATCAGCGCTGAGTGTAAGGTGCAGCTCATGCTGGGTTTAAGCCTGTTCACTGTGAAGCAGTTAGTGAGAAGTGCACTCTCATCCTGAACCTCCAAAAATTAATCCCACTGGCTAGACGTGATCTCAAAATGAGCCCTTAACTTTTAGAGTCCAGATTTTCAGATACTGCCAGAAGTTGAGGGTGATATACCAAGACAGTACATCCTGTTTTTCTACTATCCTCATCTTCATGGTTTTTATTCCAAATGCTTCTTTCCTTATGTATTTCTGAGCTGCCCTCAGCCTACCTCAGTCTGGCAAACCAGCAGGGGCTGTGCCACTTCATTATGCCAAACCACTGGGGCTGTGCCCCAGGCACAGCCCTGCCTGAAGCTGAGCCTGCAGCTGAGCCTGCCCTGCCCTCCAAGCACAAGGACCCAGGGACAAACGACTTCAAGAGACAGTCTCATCCAAACACAGATGATAAAGTCAGTACCTTGAATATTTTTTTACTACAAGCAAACAATATAAATACCTCTGTTGTATAAGAAATTAATAAAATAATTAAAACAGAAAAAGACCAATCAGGCTAATATAATCAATTTTGCCTCTGAGTGAGCAGTGACATCTCTACCCCAGGAGAGAATTTGATCCTTATTTGCAAATTGGAGATCTTTCCTACAAAAATATGTGCTTGAATTAATTTCAGGTTAAGCCGACTAAATATAATAATCTATTTAATGAATCCTATGGTTAAATGCTTTGCTGGCTGACTGAGAGCTAATCTTGCTATATTTACTTCATCATGAGGAAAAATTTGTAATTTAATCAGATCATATTCTTGTATTTCCTTTGTCACATACAGCAAAATCATAATCTGATCATCTAAAAAAAAAAAGAAAAGAAATTACTAAGTGAGAAATAAATTTCAAATTTGGATCAAGCTCTCTAAAACCAACTGCAAATGTAAGAATTGCTTGTAAAATGTTAATATGACAAAAATGTTACCGTATAAATATTGTTGAATTTGGATTTTTTCGATTTTTTGAATTGTTATTTTCAAAATATAATCAGCTATCACATGAAATACACATATTTTGAAACTCGATTAAGAAGAACAAAATGTACTTACTTGTAACCCCAACCAGTTATTCCTAAAACGAGAGCCAACACTAAAATGGTGCCAGCAATAGCCCCTATTATTATATTTGTGCTAACCACACCTGGAAACACAAGAAAGGCAAAAAATATATATGGTTTTAGGACAAAAATATACATGGTTTTAGGACAAAAATATACATGGTTTTAGAAGAAAAATACACAAAAGCAGTAAATGCATCATCTTTCAAAAATCAGCTGGAACAACTTTCACTAGGCTGATTAATTGTAACCGGTGATACACTCCTGAAGCATAGCTTGGACATAAAAAGATCACTTTACAAGTTATTTACAAGATCACTTGCAAATCAAGCTTTGACGTCTGTGTCTGTTTCCATTAACTGAATGCTTGTTACATGGGAAACCTGTGCCAGGTGTGCCAAAACAGTATTATCAGCATTAAACTGCTGTAGATTACATCCTTACAAATACATGCTTACCATGGAATAAAAGTGACTACTTGTTTGGTTTTGCTCAGATGCCTTCTATAGCTGAATAAATTAAGCAAATCAATGATTCTGGAAGATGTCCCCCCACTAGGATTTCTAACAACCAACATTTACAATCTGATTTTTCCAAAATATATCTTTCTTTTGTATTCAAGACAAGCGGAATAAAAACTTCCACTCCAAAAATATAAAAGTCAGGCATTAGCTTTCCATCTAGATATGGAACGTCCCAGTAACCTTTTGCTTGTCCTAATCTATCAATATGCTTAATAAAGCCACTCAGATGATTGGAATAAGCATGGGGGAACTGAACCGACTGATACCAGTTCCCAAAGACACACAGGCTGAGGCTTCATCTACAGACACTGAGTGCTTCTGCTGTGGTGGGAATGAGGCTTCTGATGCTGCAGCATGTTGTGTACTAACTGAAAGAGTAGGAGACCTAGTTTTGCTTAATGAACTTTCTTCAAATCCAAGAATTTTCAGTTGTTGGTAAAAATTTTAACAACATACCTTTATTGATGGCATCCTTATCAAAAAATAGATCGTCTTTGATGTGAGAACTGCAGTCATCTCCTCCCCAGAATCGGTCACAGACACATTTTATTTCATTGCTACAAACCTGCAGTCAAAAGTGTAGCTCAGAAAAAAATCAGATTATTCATTCATTCCCGTAATTAATACCTCAAGTATAGGTACAGAGATAAAGCCATGATTTTACTGCTCACAAAATTTTGCTAACTAACTTCTAATATATAGCAATTTTTAATTTATGTTAGGTATAAATGCATTAAATGTGCTATTCTATTTTATATAAATAAATGTAATGTTTATTCAGTACATACTTTAACATAATCTGTATTTAATAGAAGCATTTATAATTGCTTTGGGAGACTGATCTTAATGACTTTTTTTTCTTCAAAATACGAAGAAGTGCATGATTTCAGATAAATAAGGAAGTTTTAATGCGGTGTACAAGACAAAAGACATTAGGAGAGAACAGCTTCCTTGATCCCAGCTCAGTCACAGGGCCTTCGATGTTGTGTCAAACTATGTCAGGGACAAGGGGGCTCGCCAGGGCCACAGTGAAGCCACAGACTGCACACCGAACAGAGAAACTAGCCAAGAGCCAGCTCTCTGCCCTCTTTTCCAGAGTAAAGGAACTCTCAGCCCACAAAATCCAACATCATCAACAACTTCATGAATCTTCTTGGCTATTTATGTGATAAAGAGGGAATTGAAAAGAACAGGTCTCTGGAAGAACAGAGACCCAAGTTTCTCAGTTCAGAAAACCTCTGTATTTATTCTCCAGTGCATTGCTGAAAAAAATACCAATCAAGTTTTAGCAAAAGTGAGCAAAATCATTGATTGATAAAACTCTGTAAAACTAATACTAACTATGATTCATTGTTTAAGATGCCTGGACTGGAATGCATTATATTTACTTATATGCCTCTTTCCCTTTTCCTTTTCAAAAACTTCTCCAGTTTTATGACTTCTAGTCAAACTGCTTGCTTCCTGAAAGGTCCAGCTGGTAGACTACACAAGGCCAGGCTCAGCAAAACCAGCAGAAAGTGTTAAAGAGTGCAGGAACCCACCCCGTGTCCGGAGCAGATCTGGCTGTCGGTGGTGCCGGGGCAGGTGCTGAAGTTGAAAGCCTCAGCGGGGAGGCAGCGATGGTCAAGGCACACCATGTCCGGCCCGCACGGCGTCCCGTTCTCCACATAGCCCAGGTCCGTGTCCTCATCCAGCTTCACGTGGCCACCACTGCAAGACAGTCAAGAGGACCTCGGGGACTTGTGCTGAGATTAGATGGGACTGCTTGAGAAACTGGGCCCAGGGTTGCTGCCTGCATTTCGGTGCTACACAATGCCCAGGACAGGTAAGAGTAAGGATTGCCTTAGTGAGCTCACTGGGCCTAACATGAGACAAACCAAAACAGTGTATCTACACCAAACAAATGAAATCATGAACACAAGGATCATTTTTCCGTGAAACAGCCTGAGTTAGACAAAATTCAGTTTACCTGTTTAGGACATAATTTCGTCTTACGCTTGTGTGAAGCTATCAAAACATAGCACATCTATAATCATAGTTCAGCTACAATATAGCAATGAATTAGGCTACCAGTTAAGTTTGGCAGTGCAGGCATATGTCTCAAGTATTCTGGGTACATGAAGCACTTCACAAATATTAAAGAATGTAAAATCACAGAGCCTGAGAAGAGCATTACATCTCTACAGGCAAAATTAACTACTGAGGGGACTGCAAAACTGCCCCAAAGGCAGTTAATTTTCTGAAGCTTAACAAAGGTTGAACTGAACTAATGGTTATGTGTTAATAGGAAAAAAAATTAATGGAAACAGTTTTTCTCCACTTAGAAATGAGAAAGCTGCTTTTTCATGCAAGATGGATATTGATTGTTCTGTTTTCAGGATTTCCAATTACCTGCAATTGTAGACTTTTCCATAGTGCAAGATTGATGTTGTGATTTCACCATCAAGTTCTCCAAGTCTGGGTATGCTGGATATATTGGAGCACAGAAGGTATCCACAAAGCACATCCCTGCATTGAAAGAATAAACAGATGCTCATAAAAAATAAAATTCAATGAAAATGGACAATCAAAAATATGATCACTAGCTTGGTACCTATTTGTTATTCCCTGCTTTTCTCCCACTGACAATAACTCCCACAAATGATGCTGTTTCCCAAGAAAATTTTTCCCTTGGAAGTTAGATTGGGAAAACTCTTTTTATAACACATAATCAAAAATGCCCTGAGTAATAACAAGCAGGGAGCTGTCAAGAACACACCACACCAAACTAATTTAATGATCTATTAAGATACAGTAACTGGTCCATAGAGGAGCAATAGATACTAGCTCTAAATACACTCTCATAGGACACATATGTAAGGGAACTATAGACACCAAGTTTAATTCAACTGCTGAAGGGACTTCACTACTCATATGTGGAGACTTTTGCACTGACAGAATAGTAGGGTCTAACATCTCCCATACTACTGAATATTTTTTACTAATGAATTTGTAATGGAGCAGAAGTAAGGTTAGCAAATCTGTGTTAAAAAAGTGGGAAAGAGCATTAGTTCACCTGTAGGCAGAACTAGAAATCAAATGTCATGGACAGAATGGAGAAATCTGAAAAAAGAGTTTCATAAGGTCTGGTGAAAGGTTGAGAAATTGGCAGAAATAATCAACTGCATATATGCACAATGTGAAAAAATGCTTTAGGCAGCGACTTGCAGGAATATACTTGGAAAGTTACAATACCATGAAAAGTGAACAAAACATAGCAGTGCAATGGCACAGCATAAAAAGTGAACACCACAGTAAGATGTGAAACCAAAGGCTTCTCTCCTCTGCACTGCTAACCCTCACTGATACCACTTTTGGTCCAAGCTCTCCCAAGCTCAGATGGTGCTGTCTTGTCAGGGATCATCTCTTCTTGGCACCCTACTCACTCCAGGACTTCTTGCACAAAGGTCTGCAGAAATCTGATCCATAGAGGGGCTTTTTGAGTCTCTTCATGACAACTTAAGAACTGGATCAGGGGTAAGAACCTCATTCTAGTAGCTTTCTAAATGGATCAACTTACTGTTTATTGCACTGTATCCAAGAGTCCTTGTCTCTTCCACAGTTTCCTTTCTCAGTCCCCTCAATATTCAGTTTCTCATAGCAGTACCTGTCAGCAGCTGTCACTTCTAAAAACAGAAACAAATCTCTTCTAAGATGATGACTTTGAAAAGCCATGTCATGAGAAACGGGGATACACAATCAAAGCAAGCAGAGCTTCCCAGTTTGTGAACTGACACACTATGATCTGCAGGTGGCCCATGAAACTCTGCACAGTGCTCTTCTCAGTTAAAAGCTTTATGATGCCACCACTGGACTTTTGTTAAATTTTGTTCAGATTAATGAGAGTTTATTGGTCAAAAATGTCCCCACTGAAATTAACTAATGAACATGAGTACAGGCTTCCTAGGTTGTTATTAATGAGAACAAAAGTTTCAGATTTCAGAGCAAACACCAGTAAGTTAACCAACACTAGAGAAAGAGCTGGAAAAGAGAATGGAAAGACAAAATTATGAGTGAAAGAAAGAGAGAGACATACTGTTCTAGATGTTTTCAATGTTCTCAGTATGTCCCTTCCATAATTTTTCTTAGCTAAGATAGTCTTTCAAGTCACATGTATATCAACCAACTTAGAAACAGAAACATTCACTTACTTTCACCCCAGATATATTTACATTGCCGATCCCTGGTTTTACATCTTCCTCCAAAGCAAATACCCTAGAGAGAAAGAAAAAAAAACACAGAAAATATTTCAAATTACTTGATTTTCCAAAATATGTATTTCTATAATAGAAAGATTAGTCACACACTTTATTTTGAGGCAAAGAATATGTGATTCTATCTTCTTTTTATTAGAAATATGACTAGCATCCAAAAGTCATGAATGTTAGCAGAACTGTCCCAAGTGACTTCCAAAGATCCTAAAACAAAATCCATACAAAGCAATCTATAATAGAAGAAAGAATGTAAAACAAACTGAGGTCCTAATTACCTGTCTGTTATCACATGAATATCCATCCATTTTATGAATATTAGGAGAACACTATAGAAAGAGAAAATAATTAATAGATCATAGATCAGACGAACATGAAAGCATGTTCATATGACAAAAGTCATATGAAAAATCATTTCAGTATCATTCTGGTTTTTTTCAGCATCAACTGATTTAACACAATTTTTATGCATCATACTGTACAAAACATTCATAGTGATTTTGAGATTACAAGTGGGGTTCTTCTGTTTCATGAATAGAAGACATAAACATCACCTGGCTGGAATTTCCTGTGCAGTTCTCTGCAATATCACAATCATTCACTGCTTCTCGACACAAAACTCCTTTAGGTTCAAACTGGAAAAAGAAAGCATAGAAAATGAGTGTCTTAGTTTCTCCATATCTTGTCTTAAATGCAACGCTTCCTTACAGTTCTATCTAAAATAAAAAATGGGACATATTTACATACCAACTGAAGTGGGAAGATTCTCTTTCCCTGGTGTGTATGCTGCACCACTCAAGCCATTTACTGGTGCAAGTGGTACCCCTCACTCTCTGAGGCACCCCCTCCCAAGGGTGTGGATTGTGGGGCCAAGCAGGAGAAGTCTCTCCTGGGACAGAGGACCCCTGGGGGTGTCCAAACCAATACTGCAGTGGCTGGCAGTTTTATTCATTTTTTCACTTTTCTCCAAGGAAGTATTTTTCCTGAACCAGCTGGGGGAGGGGCCGATTTAATCTGCTTTCTAGAGGAACCCCTTCAGAGGTTCTCTCCCAAATTTGCCCTAAACCAGGAGAATTATCCTACCAGGTCACTGTGCCTTTTGTGACTATATTACTCTTCTTTTACAGAACAGAAAAAGTCATCCTGATCTCTCTCTAGGGATGAAGAATACCACAGAGCTCTATGTATAACACTTTGGTTATTTTAATCCCCCATTGTTGCAGAACAGGAACTATTAATAAGTACACTGAATTCCGTACAGTTTGACACCGTTTTTTAAGGGACTGGATATTTAACAATGAAAAGTGTACCAGTAACCTAATACAGACATTTTGGCTAAAGAATTATGTGCTAAGTCTCAAGACCTAGAAAAGAAGGAAGATATCTCATTTGAGGCAGTTTTTAATGTTTCGGGTCATAGACATATTACAGGCTCCTTATTTTTCCTCAAAAGTTTTCTTAAGACTGTGAAACCCAGTTCATTTTGCAGGCCTGTGCCTGTGATTTTTTTTTGTTGGGTTTTTTTTTGTTTTGTTTTTTTTTTTGTTATTTTTTTGGTTTTTGGGGGTTTTTGTTTGTTTGTTTTTTGTTTTGGATCTGCGTGCACATACATTTTTTGGGGGACAACTGCTAATTCCAAGCTGGTGTGAACAGGCACACATCAGTGGAAGAGCTAGACTACTGTACTTTCTCAGCCCTCAGCTTCTTTTTTCTACCAGTCACTGGAAAAATACAGACAGACACAAATGCTGTCAGAGACACTACAGGATTCTGGGATGTATAATCAACATGTATTGCTTTCAACCCATTCTTCACTCCTGCTTTCAGGCAGGATATTACAGGGGAAAGTAACCCCAAGTTTGGAGTTATTACACAGAGTCTTTTGAGTTGTTCTGATAAACACTGTAGTAAAATTTTACTTTTCTGTTCAGTCACTCACCCTTGCCACTCTGAAAGGAGATAAATCCTTCTCTCAATTGCATAAAAATAAGATAGGTATAAAAAAGCTTTGTTTTGTTCTGATAGTCTTTAATGTGGTACCTATGCAACTTGGATTCTTGAGCAAAATTCACCCATACTGGCAATCTGCTGATTTTTAAATTATTACATTTAAAAAGGGGAATGTGCTTAGGGAAATGTGATGTGTTCCAGCATAATCTGTGCTTTTTCTTTTTTTAACATTAGGATGAGGACAAAGTCAAGAATGTGATCCAGAGTTATTATTAATGATCCTCCTAAGGGAATGAAACCCTCAAATGTGCAGAGACAAAGATAAAAATATCACACATAGTACACCACAGTTTTAACTACATTAATACTAATTATCTTTATTACTAAACGAGTACAAACAACTATTTGAAGTCATATTTAACAGGGCTCTCTTAGAGCCATGATCTGGTTAAATCTCCTTTTACTATTTACTGATGTATCAAGAAGAATAATTTACAGTTTACATAGGGCTTGATTCCCTTTACTCAATGGGATTTCAGTCAGTCCAAACATAAGGAGACACAGGCAGACCAAACTGAAACTGAAGTCAGGTGTTTTTTAGATTAACCTTTCTGAGTAATTCTGCTGGCTGCGCTTTTGTGTTTTTTACTCTATCCTTCCCTCAGACACTCTGTGGCATGATTTTCCCATTCAGACTCATGGGGCAAATCCAGAACAACACATACAGCACTGGGAGTGGCACCTGGATAAGGATGTTCATGTTCACAGAATGACAGAATGGTTGGGGTTGGGAGGGACCTTAAAGATCATCTAGCTCCAGCACCACTGCCATGGGCAGGAACACCTTCCACTTGCTCAAAGATCCATCCAACCTGGCTTTGATCACTTTCAGGGATGGGGCATCTACAGCTTCTCTAGGCAACTTGTTCCAGTGCCTCATCATCCTCATAGTGAAAAAATAAGTACATCTAATGAAACTTTATGGTTAATTTATTCTTTAAGCAAGGATGTCTAATGAGATGTCATAGAACTTCAGCCTGATTCAAACTTGTCTGAAACTGGAAGGATTCAATTTACCTCTGCATTTGATGACAGTCCCTGCCCCAAAAAGCCAAGCCTAAAAGACAGAGTACAGCCTCAGAAAAATCAGATTTCAGCCAGTTTTAAAAGGTAAGCTTTCAGAAGAGTAATCACAAGGTCTGCAAGGGAAAACACAAGTGCTGTAGTGCCTGCAGCTGCCTGGATGCATTCCCACCAGGCTGCTACAGTGAGGGTCACTGCCCTTACCCGGCACTTCCGACAGCAGAGCCCGTTGCTGCACTGGGAGCCCGCGGTCAGGGTGCAGGTATTGCAGCACTCTCCTCCTTCACTGGCACACTCCTGAGGAACACAGACAGAACAGAATACGTGGGAAAAGCACATCAACCCCAAGCTCTTATTACTGCTCTTAGCATGCTACCTGAATGGATTTTTTTTCATTCCTTTAGGCACCTAGAGGCAGAAAAAGGCATATACTTGTGGAGCATGAAACTGCTGCTTCCTGTGCAAGACAGAAAATAATTTTTCTAACTTCATATTGCCATTAAATACTAACAGCACTGATGAGTGTTTCCACCTAGGAAAATGCTTTCTTTCTTGCCTTTGAAGGTCTGATTCTGCACAGGCAGCTATTATTAAGAATCCTTGGGCACACAACCTTCACCTTGCTTGTCTTCCTTCACTTATCATTAACAGCAGCAATGTGCAGTACCAACTCTTGGACAAATCTAGTACATCACACTTACCGCTATTGTCCCACAGTCACATTCCTCTCCATCTTCCACAAAGCCATTGCCACATTCTGGAGGATCCAGAAGCTGCATGGAAATTCAGAAATCAAAGGGCATGTCTCTTTTAAGGGAATCATTGTCATATTTGCTCTGTACAACATGGTTTTTAAGCTAGCTCTCCAAATGCATTAACTGAAAAACAGCTCCCATGACTCAGGGACACACAGACTGACACAACACAATTGAAACATACAGAGAATAAGCACTCCTGAAAATAAATACAGCAATGCTGCCGAGTCACATGGTATCTTCTGTGCGTAGGTGTCAGCTTTACAGTAAATTCTGTTTGAGCAGAAGTTACAATGAAGAAAAAAAGCTATGAAAATAAAGGAAAAAGAAATAAAGATATGACAATTTCATTATCTTCATAGTGGTTGCAATTGCTGTTGTTCTGGAGTTCAAGTGACAACGACCAAAAGGGTAAAGACTGCACTGTAAGTTCAGAAGTAATAGCCATAAAAAGCAGTCCTTTTATGTGGCTCAGAACTGCTTGGGAAGGAGAGATGCTCAATTTCTTGGTCAGTTTCTTTTGTGGTAGTTGGATTCTTCTTTCCATTTTCTTCTACCATAGTTGGGAACTTTCACAGTTTTCTGTAAGTATATATTACACACAGGCAGATATGCACAAGAAGGGTGATGAGGATTCCTCCCTTTCAGCCTTCCCACTGGACTCTAACTTAAAAGATCAAAATATTTCTATTTGTATGCCATAACCTCTTTTAAAGGACACTGATATTCTGTTCTTTCCAGTTTAATTTTATCTGTCTTCCTGAAACTTTTAAAGGTAGTTCTTCTAAAATAAAATAATTTTTTTTTCCTTTGGACATAAGAAAACATAATAGTAGCTTTTATTACATAAATGAGAAGGTATTTAAGTGTGTCACTAGACTAACATTTTGCAGCTCAGCCTTCAAGTTCTCCAATTAAACTAGGATCATTCCAAAAACCACTCTGCTCCTGAGCCATCTGCACAAGTACATGGTGTAGAGCATTTCTCACCGGCTGCTGCCTTTCTGTCAGGAGTCCACAGGATGGAGCATCACTCCACGTACCTCACTGTGCCACAAACCACAGCCTGGCATAGGCTGATGTGTTATTATTACATCCCCTATTGAAATGGAAATTTGACTACAGCATGCAATGCATACGTAGAATTTAACATAAAATGTATGCAAGCCTTTAGAATTACTAAAGAGCTGTTTAAACTGCTTGTTTCCTATGTATTTTTCCAGAAAGCATAACTTCTTCAATATCTCTTGGTGTGTTGCACAGCAGAGACAAAGAGACAGCAGTAACAGAGAATTCTGCCTTGAAATACTGGGCCAATGTGCTTCAGTATAGGGACAACTAAAAACAAAATTGAAGAAAAAAAAACGAACATTTAAAGCAAATTTGATAACCTTTCTCCAAAGTCATATCATTCATCCAATCATTTGAAAAGTGCCTATGTTCAATCTGTTCCAGCAGCCATTGATATGATGTTTGAGATTATAGCTGATCTAAGAGTGGAGCACTGCCAAACACTGCACCTTGTCACATCAGCTTTCCTTTATCTCATAATGCTTTTAAAACAAAAATAAGCTTGTGTCTCACCACCCTTGCTAGGAAACACCTTTGACAGCATTGTTAATTAGACAGACATCCATTGACAAACCTTTAAACCAACCCAAACCACAATGCATAAAAGAGACTAAATCACCCTGGCTTCCACATCTAACTCACATTTAGGCATGCCATCAAAAAAAAAAAAAAAATAAAGTGCTGCCAAACTAAATTGAAAGGAGAGTAATTGTTTTTTCCAACTCACAGATGTGTAAATGAACACAATCACTAAAATAAATCAAGTAAGACACATTACACTATATAAACAATACACTTGGCCAGTAAATAAGTCTACCAGTATTCCTCTCCACCTTTAATGAGATGGAAAAAAAACCAAATCTCTAAAACTCAGGTACATTTTAAATAAGAAGTTTTACATCTAATTAATGAATTACAGTGCTTTCGCTCTACTTTTAATAATATACTCTTTCATCAAAAGGGCCCTTTAAGAGATAAGCAGGCTTAGCTTGTCCCTATTTGACGTTTTCTCTTTCCTTCTTTAAGTTTTATTGAAATTCTGTGGTTATCAGAAGATGCAGTTTTTCTCATGTTCACCAGAAGGAACATGCATCACTCCTGAATTGACTTTCTTCTCTTTTACATCTGTGACCACTTCAGTTACCAGATAAGTCTTTTTTCCACATTGAGCGATCTTACTGCCTTAGCCTCGTTTCCTTTGCTTGTTGAAAGACAGATATTAAATACAGTTAACATTAACTATGTATAGAAAAGAGTCAAGATCATTATCCTGCTTGCTTTACATTTTAACACATGCTTCAGTAAATGGAGCAGTAATATACCAAAACACTGGGGCAAATCCTGCATTGCAGACCTGTTGTAAATATAAAATTATATTGTATTCACAGCATTCAGAACAAATTGTGTGAGGGATGAGTCTTGATCAGAGGCTGTGGATACACTACTGGACATGAAACCACTTTATCAGAAATTTATTTTAAAGCAATTTCTAAACTATTATGAACTAAAATAATCTACTTACACCCATATGTTACCAGAATAGTTAGAACTTAAGAGAGAACCAGAACTATCAAAACTACAGGGTTTTTTTTTTCCAACATTATAATTTTAATTTTTCTTGGTTTCATCAAAATCAGCAATAGAACAGAAATCATATTAAACATTAATGTAATGCTTACTTTGGTTGGTTTATTGAAAAGGCAAGCTCCACCTCCATTGTTTAAAAATTCATGATACTCTTCAATATCACACTCAGAGAACTTGCTTGGAAGATAGTACCTAACAGAATAAGGTAGAAGGATTACTTTCTCTCATGCTTTTTACACTGTTTTGTTTTTTGTTGTTTTGGTTTTTTTTGAAACAGAAGAAATACAATGTTATACTTCAGAAAAAGAATGAAAACATGCTGTTCAGAATCAGAGTGACTGTATGTCTATCTGACTTTTCTATTTCTTTTGATTTAAAAATCCTTCCACTAAATAACAAGGAAATTTCAACAATGACACAAAGCTCATGGAATGTGACAAGTCTAGAATATTTCACTAAGTTTTTACATGCTAAACAGCGCAAATCTGATTACAGTGTGTAGTTCGCACAAGTATGACTTGTTACACTAACAGGCCTGATCTCAGAAATACATTTATTTCCTCCCATGCAAAGTGCAGGAGAAAAAGACAGCTTACAGTTTGTTTCTCTCTTAGAGGAAATGGTTCCCCTGACGCACAGAATTTTTATATAATAGAGTTATGCCATTTTAAACATGCTTCTAGCAAACACCACCTAACATTTCAGCTTCCCTCTGTCATATGTCCCACTCAGTAAATTTCAATTGAGTACAGAGTGCCCCTGAGGCACTGTGCCCCACCTAAAAATAATGTGATGCAGAGAATATTTGCATGGATCCTATTCACAGGGAAATAACTTTTCCCAAGGCAATTGCAGTGATCTTTATTTTCAGGTCCATAGTCATGAAAGTACTTATGCTTCAAGGAGATTTTGGAGTCTCAAGGGCTTTCCTCTATCACCTCACCACTGGATATAAAAATATTAGCCAAAGTGCTATCCTGCACTGCTGAGAGAGATAGTTTCCAAAACATAATTGGCTTTTTCCACCTGTAATGCTCATTAATTTGGTCTAAACACTACAGAGGCTGTAGATTTCACGAAAGTTCAGCAATAAACTAGGTAAATACAAGGCTTTTTCATGTACCAAATTATGTGAAAGGTTTCAACTTCAGATAAAGAATTTAAAGGCCCTAACATGGGAATTTATAACTTTTATAAGAATCAAAAATGCCTCTCAGACTGGGTTTTTAACTTACCAAAAACCAGAAAAATCCTACCAGGTATGTTTTCAGGTATTCTAAGATGAGAAGGGCACCATTCACAATTTCATAGAGGTTTGAATAGGACATACTTCTTTGCTCAAAATTTTTCTGATCACAACGTTATTGTGAAAATTTGTGGATCCATTCAAAATCAGTTAAAAACTGAGACCTGTCTACATCTAAAACTAGAATACAATGTAGTTCATATCTAAAGCTAGACTACAATGTAATTCATATGCACGATAATAGACAGGCCTGTAATAAAAACTGTTAGGGTTCAGAAAGCATCAAATTTCATCCACCAGCAAAAATTTGCAAATTCACCAGTCATTGTGTTAAAATCTCCCCAGTGGCACTACACATGGGTATGAACATACTCAACCTCCAATGGGGGCAGTTTTTCTAACAATATCACACAAACTGTGTGATAAAAAGTGATAGAGATAGATGAAAGATTCCACCAAAACACTGAAAATGAGACATGCCTCAGAAATTTGATTATAGGATTTCAAGAATTAGGGTGTATCATTGTTTCTGCAACTCAGTAGAAATTTGCATGAGAAAACAACCTATGCCTGCTTCTGCTTCTCTGCAACCTGGCTTGACTGTTGAGCCTTGTGCTTTCCAAGTTAAATCAGCATACACCAAAAATCCTCACATGCCCATCTCATGAACTCACTTATTCTCACATTTCTTTGAAGGTATCTCTATATGGTATATACCTAATACTTTACTTTCTGAAAATTGAGTCATCAAAAATATTCTGCTGAACCACAAAAAAGAAAATTTTCCGTGATGTCACTGTATGAAAACCATTACTTTTCTCTAGTGAAATGTCTTACCCCATATCTCCCATTATGCATCCAGACCACATGTCCTCACATTTACATTCACCTGCCCAAAAAAAAAAAAAAAAAAGTTACATCTTAAGTCTTGTGAGTCCTAAATAATACAATTCTTATCATAAAAAGCACACTGTACTCAATTCCCTTTCATATTTCCAGACAAGTAGAAAAGAATAATATGCTGGTTTATTGCACACTTTGGTTTTAGTGTATTGGTGCATCTTTCCAAAATTTTTTTTAAATCTACATGATTCTATGCAATCCTGAGCTTTGAAAATATGCCCTGTTTTTCTTTCCTTCTCTTAAAGGCAAATGCAGTGGTTGCCTTCTGCACTTGCAAATCATGAGTCAGCTTTCTTGTCTTCTCCTGTGTGATGATACTAATTTCCCAAATTTTCAGATTTAAAAAAAATCATCATTTGACTTTTCTATTTTTTTAGTTCTCCTCTTCAACTATGGTAAGGTGATTCTGAAAATCGTCCCTTGGAAAACCCCAAACAATAATTCAGACCAAAAAAAAAAAAGCATGGAATGATCAATGAACACAAAGTAGTAGAGCAGGATCTATCAGCTTCTTCCTCTGCTCTTACTCCCTTCTTTCCTCCCCTGCCTGCCTCCCTTCCCCATACAACTTCCTTCTGTCCTGCCAGCTGGGATCACTTTGCTCTGGTCTCAATACTCCTTTTGAAAAGCTGTGTCTTGCTCTAATTTCAGTAGAAATGCTTTCCACTTGTATGTTCCATAACTTCTCCTACTGTATACACAATCAGTTTATTGCTTCCGTTTTAAAAGTACAATTAGAAAGCAAACAAAGCTCTGTCTAACAACTGCATTCTCCTCTCTCCCTACCAAAACAGTGTCCTGACCCTCTCAGCCATAAAGAAAGGGAGTCACCACTATTATAATTTTCACTTTTACCCTGCCCCTACATCCATTCAAAACTATGTGGCTGGAAAAGGAATACTGAGTATGTCTGTATGATAGAGCACTGGTCCTACATTTCTGAGTATTTTTAAAAATAGTATTACATAATCTGAAAAAAACCTTTAAATACAGCTGTATCTCTGCATTATATATTGTCTTTACAATGCCTGAAAAAAAAAATCCATTAATCAAGAGAGTAATTTATCTTTTGAAACATAGGCCACAAAAGCACACACAGTCCAGTAAATCCATATCCCAGTTCATTTTCTAAATTGTTTCAAAACTGTATTTTTATTTTAATCATATCAAGCTGGGACTTCATATAGCATGGAAGGGGGAAGGCAAAGTGCTTATTGTGGGCACAATGGTGGGGATTAAAGCATTGCAGGTAAACAGGCATAACCAAGGAGCTGAATACCAAGGTTACAGCAAAGAAGTGGAAGCAGTAGGGTAGCAAATACTGGATATTTGGGTAATCTACAAGAGGAAATCAATCAAGGAAAACAGATAAAAGTTGTATTGTTTGAACTGTTCTATATACCAGTACTGAGGAGGTTCCTCATTATACCCTGATCTCATAATGTATATTCCCACACTCATGTCATAAGATGGCAGCCATTTGGTCTGTAGGTGGGACACCAGTCTCCCTGAAATGAATGGAAGTGGCAGGCACCTTTATGGTCTATTTTGGATGAAATGGCGACACCAGTGCCATCAGCAAATACAAGCAGGGGGATACTAGAGCATTCAAATAGAGGAAAATTAGTATGTCAGACCCTTCTCATGTTACTGTAAGAAATAAAAATATTTCAATATTGTGAGAAACTGAAGGAAAAAGTACATATCAGAAAGACACTGATAGGACACTGATAAGGTCCTCCACTTTTTAAGATTTTTCACTTGAGACAGAGTGAAAAAGCAAATAAAATTACCACTTAGAAGTTTTCTTCTGTCTGAGAAAATGCCAATGTTTTGGGCCAAGGTCTGTGCCAGGGTAACTGCCATTAAGTCTGGCTTTCCAAACTGAAAGAAACAAGCAAGGTGGGAAAAGCAATCAGTAACACACGGGTATCTCAGATTCAAGTGAAGCTTTTCTCATATCAAGGCAAAAAAATGCAAAATCAGTGTTAGAATTCTTACTTCAGGGTAGCTAGATGAAAACTAAACACTGGCTTATAGACAAGATAAGTAAGAGAAAGTCTGTTTCTCTCTTGGCATTGTGGCTGGAAAGATGAATGACACAATATTGCAGAATTTGCTTAAAAATGCATTTGAAGTGTGTTGACTTTATTCACTCATCACTCTTCATTGAAGTGTCTCTTCTATAGAACTGCAGTAAAAGTCTACATTGGCAAAAAACAAGCAAAATATTTTGAGGAACATGTCTGCACTGATAAATTCCCTGCAGAAAAATTTCCACCACTTTTTGCTCATACCAGTATCCCCACCTACCTCATTCACACCTCCGCCTTTAAGCAAGGAGCAGATTCCACCAGTGTGGGCTACACCACTTCGACTGCTCTGAAATCGACTCCCCCTTTGACAAAAACGAAAAGGAAAAGAAGTTTACCCTGCTCAGTCCACAAGTTTTTCACCTGCCTATTCCAGTATCTACCCCTCTGATTTCCAGGTGAGAAGCTGGCATTTGCAAATGCTGGATGCCACCACTATGCTGCAAATTATGCAAAACCAAATGGGAAAAACTGATAACCACTCACAAACCTCACATAACAAGTTATCTCCAGAAAACTTACAACATCTTCCCTCCTCCTTTTCAGATTACCTAATATAAGAAGAAGGGGACTACTTTGCCAAACCACCTGGATCTGCCCAGCCCCTTGTTTCTTGACATTCTACTGCAGCAAGTGCTTTCTGCTGGCACATGCTCCAGGTAGAGTTCAGGAGAGGCCACCATGCTCCCAATGCAGGGGACTAGTGAAAACGACACGGGTCTAATTGAGCACTGCTGATGTGGTAAAACTCAAGGGGAGATGCATTAGCAGAAGATGCAGAGGTAGGTGAAAACTCCCTGGAACTACAGCCAATCTCATCCAAGGAACAGATGCACTCTGAGCCTAAATCTAATCTCCTCTTTGGTCCTGACCACATCAGCATGAATGACTGCCAGTTACCAGAGATAAAATATACTCTGCTCCACCTGAGAGTACTGATCCATCCGACAAGTTTATTTTTCTCAGGTGAGAGGAAAAAATATCAAGAAGGGTCACAGTGGGCCAACTGTGCTAAAGGTGGAAGCTCATTTGTAACCACTGTACCATCACACCAGCTACCCCCACCTCCCAGCTTAGCTGTGCTTCACTCACAGACACAATTTCAGAAACTGCTGATTCTAAACAATCCATGAATGCAATACCACAACAACCATTGGTGGTGGTGCTACGGATAGCACTGGAATTAGCATTACAGTGGGATCCAGAGTCCCAACCACAGGCCAAATTGGGCTCTCTTTGTCCTAGTCCATCCACGCACATTCACAAAAACCAGACTTCCCCCTCAAAGACTTTACAATGTCACCAGAGGAGATAAACAAAGGATATGAGAAAACCTGATTCCCATTTAAGTGTGAAGATCTGAGACACAAAGAAACAAAATCTGCAAACACCACTTGCAGATCTTACTAGCTTTCTTCAAGGCAGAAATCAGTGGCAGTAATTAGGTATGTGCAAAAATTCTGAGGGTGGATACCGGGCTTGGGTACCCTGGAACTCTACTGAAGTCATGTGAAGTGAGGTGTTTAGGTTAAGTTTATTCTTACAGGCTCCTAAAACAGTCAGCAGAAAGAAAAAGTACTCCAACAGAGATATTCATCTAGCATGTCATGTGTGGATCAAAAATCTCAGCCATGTATCTCTCCTGTATTTTTGTAAATATATTTTATTATTTCAATCTTATTTTCAAAACAGTTAAAATACTTAGAAAAAATAACATCTTCTCAGTTTAGTATACTTATAGCTCAAATGTCTTGGGAGAACAAACTGTTTTAAAGATCTGAAACACTTCAGTAATCCTGCAGCATGCAGGTCATTCAAAAAAGTAAAGCAGGCCATAGTGCACTTCAGCAGAAAATCTCATTGGTTTCAAAAACCAATGTTCTGCCTTTAAATAATCCGTGCTCTACTGCTGAAGAAGTCAACCTCTGAGGTGGAACCATGCATGACTCTTCAGATAGCTGCACTTGTAGAGTAGGTGGTTGCACAGAATTACAAAGGATTACTGCACATGCAGCTCAGGATTAGTATGTTAAAACTAAAATAAGAGACAAACCTCTGATTTCACTGGCAGGCAGTTTGTGCATTAATTTTTTTTCCCACCTCCCCATCCAAAACTATTTTCTGAATTATTGTGGATTACACACACAACAGAAAGGAGATGCATCAGCCACTTGTGAGAATCAACCCCCAAGGAAAGAAAAAACCCCAGTAATATAACATCACACAAGGTTACGTACGAAAAAAGGTGAACTGCGTCACTTTTCTCTCTGATAAAATCCCTCCTATATTTCATAAACTCACGTAGAGTCACCAAGGGGTTTTCAGATATGGTGAACTTGTTATCAGTAGCCCAGGTTTCCATGGCAACCAATACTATCCTCGTGTTAAGTTGCTCTTTATATATCTAGTACATTGACAGAATGAACAAATATATTATGTCAAACACAACAAAGATGAGGTTTACCCCTTTTTTGTAATAGCTTGAATTTTTATATAACTAAATATTTCACATATTCTAGCACACTTTTCATTCTTGTAGGTGATTTTATCTCCTTTAAAACCAGAAACATGAAAACCAGGTTAAACCAAACTTTTAGGCTTAATTCCTCAATCAGTTATCTTAGCCTTCTCTCAGCCTACATAGAAGAAAAATGTGATTTTTGAAAAATTCCTTCATTCCAAATAAATCAAAGATTTGAATTTAATGGGTCTTTTATAACAGCCAGCTCACCCAATGACACACAAGGGCCCTCTTACATGGAATAATGATCTATAAAGCCATAATTTTTCATTGTTGTATATGTCTACAGGACCTGCTGGCTGAATCACAAAAAAAGGGACATAATTTCAATGCTGTGTTAACACTCCACACCAAATACTTTCAAGCATTTTCTTCTAGTAATACTTTTCTTTTCCTAATACTTTGCTGCGGTGAGGTGCAAGGGCCGGCAGCTCATCCAATTTAGCCTATAAATATAATCCACATAGTTCACTGTATGTCCCTATATTCTAACTCCTTTATTCAAATGCACTTTTTCTGGAGAAATGTTAATGCATTAGAATTTCAGATTGTCTTTTGGGTTTAAATTTGCCAAAGCAGGGATCCTGTGCTAGAAATTGTCCTATCAAAGGTGCTCTGTAAAACTCAGAAGCAATCCAGCAGGATACTTAAATGTTTAAAGCCACAAGATAAAACCCCTCTGATGCTTTATGTTAGACAAAGGCTCTATAGGTGATTGATTGTGGTTCTAGATAAAAATTTGTAATCTTCACATACATTACTATTGTTACACCATGAACTGACAACTCCTGCATCTATCACCAGGAGAATCTTATGACTCATCTCACACGTAAAAGGACATATAGTTGAGTGATACTTACCAAATCAGCCATGTTCACAACGGATTTGGCATAGCTGTTGGTATGGCCGACTGACAAGCGGTGCTTTTTACACTGTGAAACAAACACAGACCAGTGACAGGTACAGATTTCAGAAAAACAGCATCCATTTCCAAAACACCATGAGGTAAAAAGCAATTATATCAACAATAAAGCCCCTGCACAAGGTTTTGTCTCTTGTGCTGAGTGTAACATTAATAACCAATAGTAGAAAACTGGTCAGAAATGCACATTTCTGATCTACTTTACAACAGCTGTTGTGAGGATGTATGAATTCCTCTTTAGAAAGTAGCCTAGAATCTTTACTGGAAAATTACATAAGAACAGGAACATTCTGTTAGTCTCTTCATTATCATTATTGTTGGCAATTTTAAAATTAATCACAAAAGCCAATGAAGAAATTAGCAACAAAAATTTCCATAGCTGAGACTCCTTAAGATGTGTTATCCCAGAAGTGCCTGCATCCATGTTTTAATCTATCAGATTCCCTTTTTTTTTTTCAATTTTCTCTCTTAAGCTGTTTTCTGGTTTTATTCTTGTATAGTTGCACACTCTATAAAGCCATAGTAACTGGTTCAAACCACTTCAGTAATCAGACTCCAATGGCATCTTTAGTGAAATTTGAAATGCAATGTTATAAAAATGGCACTAGAAACAGCGGTCCAGGTACTCCTATTTACAGAAAGAAAAACAATTATGAATGAGCATCCATGGGCATGAAAGTCACAGGTATCTCAGAAGAATTTAAGACAAAGTGTACAAGATTTTCAGAAATGTTTTGCCATCTTGTGCCCCATGATGCTTGATTTTAGAATGAAAATTGTCCATATTTTCTGGAAGTTAGGATTTTTTAGTGGGCCAGAAGTTTCCCACAACTAGGGCATAGGACAGGTACCCTTTCAAGCAGGAATGGGGGAAAACCCACCAAAAACAAGGAAGTTAACCCCACAGCAAATGGTATTTCCTTCTCACAGGAGGAAATTATTTAGCTTCTTTGATCACTGGCACTCAGAGAATAAACTCCTAACTGGACTGACTCTTGCAGTAGCTGTGATTAGACAAAATTAGGAAACATTGTCCTTGAAGAAAATCGGCCTGAACAGATAAGAGGATCCTAAGATAAATGTTGTGGATTCAGGTCTTTATGATTAAACACAGTTACACTGATTTAAGGAATTTTCATCCAATATTATTAATTTTAATCCAAGAATTTATTCCTGTGCTCACCAAACTGAGCTGGTGGAGAAATACACTGTCTAAGGACAGTGGCACACTTTTTGTACACTTGTACACTCTCATGTCTATTTTTGCCAATTCAGGTATTGCATGAGAGAATTGCTGCACATTACAGAAGAAGTAGACAAGATTTATAGAAATATTTTGATTTTAAAGCCGTAAGGGATCATAAAAACATCTAATGTCACTAGTCGGATGGGCACTACCAGGATGAACTTTATCCAGTTACTTCAAGAGGAAATCCATTGTTTGTGTTTGAAGCTACCTTTGAAAACTGCAAGTAATGAAGAATTTGCCATTTCCTTTGAGATTTCCTTCATTAGATGATTCATAAATCATCTTCACTGACATAAATCTGTGCTTTTTCCCACTTGAATGAGTCTGGCTTTTCTTCAATACACTGTTATTATGTGTCTTTCCACTATGTTAAAAACCCCACTGTATTCCACTGTATTCTCCCAGAGAAAGTATAAAATATTAACAAAATCATTTTCTCTACATTGATTGGGGCATACCAAAAAAATCTTGCCACTGTTAATTTCCCCATTCTCAACAGCTGCTGCACAATTGAAATAACTGCACTATGGATTGCTGAATGCCTGTAACTAAGATAAATGCTCAGGAATGCCAGAAAGGAAATCATCAGCTTAAGTTACACTGACATTAGTTACTTTCTGAGCCCTCTTTCTGATCCTCAGGCCTAGTTATATTCTTAGTGAAATTAACTTGCCAAAATGCAAAACCAACTTCATCAAAGAGACCACCTCTTCTATTAAGGACATACTGAATTTATTCCTTATATATGCCTTATACTGTTCTTTATTGTTATGCTGTCTGGATAAATTAAGACAATTTGATGCTAATTGTAAGATGTTGAAATGTGTCAGTCTTACCATTAGATGATCATTTACAATCATCAACTCAATGTATTTTGTTTCCTCTTCAACTTTACGTGGAATCTGACGAACCTATGGAGAGAATATAACTCTTAGAGTCTAACAATACAGAGAGTGTAACTGGTAACAAATATCTGCACTTAGTGGTTTCCCCATTTTAATAAACAGAAAATGAAATCTCTGTTTAGAATATTTATTTTGAAACAAAATAAAGTGAGGTAAAGTAGCTACTTGTCACTATTATAACATAAAAAATATATAGGTTTAATTATGGGAGTTTCTGATAAAACTATACTCAAAATGAGCAAGATTATTTTATCTACTTTTTCATTTGCCATGTAACAGTATTTTAAAATGTTCTAATTCTTCAGGTAGGTAATGTCCAAGAGAACCCATCAACATTCAGCTTACATTAGATACCTCTTTTTGTATTAGCTGTATTGATATAGAGATCTCATGCCAAACCAGCAGGAGCAGCAGGACTCCATCTGAACAAATTAACTCAGCAGACATGAAACAAACTTGACGGCGTGTTCCTTATAAACAAGAATATTGGCACATACCTGCCTTTTCCTTCTTTTGTGTCTTGGCCTTACAACAAAATTCTGTGATGTAGTATTCGTCTGCCAGAACTCTAAGCAGGAAACACAGACAAATACATGGAACATTTACAAAAATATAGCCCAGCAATTAGTGACCCTGATGCAACATGACAGTAGTATGGCACTCTTCAGCACTTCAGATGCAGCAACAACTCATTTTTTCAAGTTTCCAGCTAGAAGGCAGGCAAGACCGCAGATGCTTCCCAGTAACAGGGCTCTTATTAAAAACTCTACTAGTGATAATCTGGGTCTGTTGAAACAGATGATCTGTGGGTGTCACGCTTCAGAAAGCACAGCAGATGTTCTATGCCAAAACTTCACCAATACTGGGCATGAAATATTATTAGCATAGTGCGTCCATGAAGTGAATCACATTTTGGAATTCAGCAGACATTCACAGAGCTCTTGCAATAGCTACCAAAATTAGTAAGAAGAGCTTGGAAGGCAGAATTAATGCTTTAAGACGATTACATTCCCAAAGAAAAATATGCCAGAGTTGGGAGAATACTTACAAGATTTTGGCAATGCTCGCTTACCAGCACAATATTCCTCCCTGCTAATCCCTCTGTGTCTTTAACTTCTTAAATCTCTAATCATAAGCATCAAGTAGTTTATTCTTTTGCCAAATCCTTTTCACCAAACCTATTACTAGCCCCTCATGGAAAAGGACACATCATAAACTAAGCAGAAGATAACACTTGCTCTGGCCCTTTCAAATGTCCAAGAAGTAATTTTCCATCTTTAATTTTAGATTCATAGTCCCTGCCTCTCTTTTCCCTATACAAAATAAAGCTCTTTTGTTATCTTGTATAAATGTGTTCGCTATTCACATAACCTCGAGAAGATCTTTTTGATTCATGCAAATAAATGTTTACAGTTTCTAAGTTTGTAATAATGTCTTTCTCCTTTCACTGCTTTCCCTCTTTTGTGCTTTCTGCAGCTTTGGACATCCTTTCAGTTTCAAGGAACTGAAAACATCATTCAGTGTACCAGTGATTTTACCAGTCATGCAGAGAAGTATATAGTTCTACAGTGCTTATACGATGCCCCTATAGTGCTACAGGATTGATGGAGCTGTGTAAATTAAGGGACTTCCAGTTCACATATCTTTGTACACAACTTCTGCTTGTTTTACAAATTCCTGACCAGTTCAGTCCTATTGGTGAGACAGGCAAGTTTCTCACAGCTTCACTTCCTGCTGTACATTAATTGTACAATTTCTGCATAAGGTTCAAAAATAGGACTAAAAACCATGCTGATAGGAATTTGATAGGAATTAGGGCTGCCATATCAGCAAAATCTTAAAACACAAAGCTGAGTTGCCCATCTGACAAGACATTGCCAGGCCTAAGTGATAATCTTAACCAGGAGTGGCAAATTACTAATAAAACAAACCAGGAAAACAAAGCATGACTAACTGATATAATCTTGGGTAAATTAGGGACTATACTGTCATTTTGGTATGTGGGGTTTGCAGATATCTTTTCATGGAGCAACCTGGGCAATTACAGGCTCTCTGCTTTAAAATGTTTTCATGGTTACACCAATTCACTTGAGGACTTTCATGAGAAAAAAGACCAAGGATAAATTAAATCACACCCAAGCTTCTTATTTATTGCTTAAAGACTTGCAGACTCCTGAGGTTTAACAAAGATAAGAAACTAAGTCTTGAAAACCTTTTTACAATGTTTTTGGTTATGCTTTATGTATGTTAATTAGTTTAGACACAATTAGTTTAGACACACAACTGGATCTCAACCTGCCATTTTTGATTTTATAACATGCTTAATGAAACTGGTAAAAACAACACTTTTCAATCAATAAAATAATAATTTATAGTATGTATATAGGGTCTCAGATAATTTTACCAGCACATGTGATTATTTTACCCACAATCAGAAGTCAGTAATCTCTAAGGGAAATGATGCAGCCATTACCGTTAACACATTAACACACATTAACACTGCCTTATAACTCACAAGATGGATAAATGCACACAGGTTGCATTTCCAGCCAAGGACCCTCAGGCAAAAGAACATGAGCAGCAAAATCACAGGGCATGTTTATAGTTGAGAGAGCCTAGCAGATATTTTGATGGGAATATATTACCTCAAAAAAATGTAATGAAGATTCACAAAATCATAGAATCATCTTGATTGGAAAAGATTGTTAAAATCAAGTCCAACTGTAAATCTAATACTGCCAAGTCCCACTAAATCACGTTCCTAAGTGTTATATCTACATATCTACATTGTGATCCCAAAATAAAAGGACATCTGTTATGTATTATTTGAAAAACACCACCTTTGATAACATATTGTTATCTAAAACCATGCCAGGGCATTGTAGATCTCAACAGAGAGTGTGAGAAAAAACACAGTCTAGTAAATACAAAGTCAAATGCTCTAAGTGTGCCAAGTCATCTGTCCAAGCTTCCTTGTTTAAAATCCTCATTATTCCTCAGACCATTGCAAAGTACAGTACAATAAATTCTTTTCTGCAACAGCTTGTGGGTTTTTTTAATACACAGGGAGCAAAAGAATGTATAAAGTATATTGCTATTTAACTGTGATAAAATAGTGTGTGCTTTTTCTATCACTGATACTGAGTAATCCCTACCACTTGAATTTTTTCCCTTTCTAACACCAGTATTGAAGCTGGTGATTATCCAGTTCATTCCTAAAGCAGTGGAAAGGCTGAGTGGAAATCTTACCTTACACACACAAACTCTTCTAAAGATAAGAGAAAAATCTTGGCTTCATGCAAAATCTAGTTAGGCCTGTCAAATTGATAAATTATGAGAGTAGCTACGATGATATATGCCAGCACAGTGCTTGCTACTGCTAATAGTAATTTTGTTGTAGTACTTTCAAAAAATCAATCACAACAATACTATCAGTAATTAATTGCAAATGTTAATAAAAGAAAAAAAAGTCAAGACAGCAGTCTGACCTCTCCAGACTGGCAGGGAAGAAATAGAGATACTGGTGGAGCTCTCATCCTTCACTGGAGCTGTGACTATGCATGGAGGATGACTTACAGAGAGATAAATTGAATAATCACAGACAAAGAAAAATGGTGGACGTTCTAATGAGGCTAATATTATATTTGTACTGTAATTTTCACTACAAATATCAGAAATACCTTTCAAAACAATTTTACAAAAATAAGTATGGGCATGTGGGAGAGTAGACTGTGAATTGAGTATATTCCTCCATACATGGGACCCTAAACTTAAAGTGATGGAAGATTAGCACCTTGTACCTCTCATCTACATTACAAATACTTGCATAACTGAGAAGACTAGCACTCTGCAACTGAATTTCCTTTTTAACCTTTTCTACCATCCTGTGATTCTAATTCAATCTAGATGGCAACATGTCCCATTATGTCACATTTTTATAGCAAAGCCAGCAACTATTTATTTGTTATCTGTAGTAAAATCAAAACTGTACAAGCATATCTGGATTTTTGTGGGAAAACAAATAAACAAAACAAGACCATGAAACCCTAGTTTGACAGTTTTTTGAAAATCAAGACACTTTGGTGGAGGTAAAACTGGGGCATTTACTTGCAATTAATCCCTTTTCATAATTTTAAAAGCAGAAAACAATTTTATTTCATAATTTTGTAATGTTGAAAACATAAAATTCACTATCAAGAAATCTTATAAAACAGCTTATAGATAGTAAGTATCAACACTGGCAGCATCTTAGCTTAACAACCTGAGATAGAAGACTTATTTTAAACTCAGCATTGGTTGCAGTATTTCCAATCTTTTGAGTTATATGTCCTCAAGAAAAGGTGATAAATGATAAATTATTTGACCCTATGTTCAATAAATTGCTCTCATTCCACTATCATCTCTGCAAGCACAGGTAGTAAGCATGGCACATGTGTAAGGTGCAGGTACACAGGAAGTTCACTGACACAGAAGTCAATGCCTTGCACAAAAGTCATGAGCCTTTGGTGCTCATGTCCCTCCATCCCAACATTGCCTCTACCTTGCCTGGGCAATCATCACAATCATCATCCCAGGACAGGAGGCACCAAGCTGGGACACTGTTTTTGTTTGGATTCAGACAGATTCCTTCTTCAGAACTGAAATAAAGCAAACCAAGTAGCAATTTCCTTTTTTTTTTTTTTTTCTTTTCTCATTAGCACCCTGAATTATTCTACTTTGCTTACAAACTGGCAAACCTGCACCAACTGTGCTCCAGGGATGGACCCATCTGTGTGCAGTACTCAGCACCATAAGATCTCAGATCCAAATGTTACCATAGGACAAATAGTTTGCAACAAGATAAGCAGACATCTGTAATTCTCCTGAAGAAATCAGACTGGAGGTGGTTCCTACAAAAATGTCAGTGTCTACAAAGGACAGTTACATTTATCTAGGATATGCGTTGTAGGGCAGGAAACACATCTGTAAAATTGGCAAATCCTTGACAGAATGGGGATATGTCACAACTGCTGCAATTTCAGCTTCAATTAACAAGCCGACCTCTCAGATGAAAACCCATTTTTTTAAAAAAAAACTTTTCTCCCTCCACATACAATATGGGCATTCATCACTACAAGCACTTGAAACCACTTCTGCCTCCAAATTCATCTGCACTGAAATGCACAGCCCTCATCATATCCAGTACTGTGAAAGATGCTGATGAGACTGGAGATCAGTCACTGAACAGAAACTACACTGGGCAGCTTCTTGTCTCCCAGACTCATGCTCACTCCATGGTACTCTCCTTGCATCTCAAAACAAGAAAAATCCATGAAGAGTTATCAACCACCATCAACGTGGTGTTTATTTTCATCACCTCTAGGCTACTTCAGTTCTTTCCTCTCTACAACTACCAGCACATAATTCAGCCCACAGACCATATGACCTGTTAAGAGAAACACAGATCACATCATAAAGGTTTCATTCATTGGATTCAGGGTTTTTTCATCATTTCAGATTTTTTTCCTGTGTTTTTACTGTTTCAAAATTGGGTTTTTTTCAGTGATTTTTTTATTTATTTGGGTAAAAGAAACTATATATAACAAAACAATATACTCTCAGAAGATGATCTATCAAATACAATCAACAAATCTGGCCTTAGACTAAAACACTCAAGTCATGAATACTAAAAAATCATACCAGATGGCAGGTCGACTGAAGGAAATTCAAACAACTTGGATTTGTAAACAGAGTGGAAATGGAAGTCGTCCTGAAATAGTAAATAATTGGTAATATTACATCAGGAAGAATTAATCCATCTCATGAGCATTAAACAGACAGTTCCAGTTTTTACCTAACACATACCACAGAGAACATGCAAGTTGCAAGGCACCATTACTCTACATTCTCCTTTTCCCAACTGCAATGTGATGGCTAATGCCACATTTAACCACCTTTTATATCTGAGTACCTCAAAACAGCGGCTGAGCACACAGAGCTAGGCCTAAATGAGGCTCACAGAGCTGCTCAGGGAGAGCCAGTGAAAGTCCCAGGAGCTGCTGAACTGGAGTCAAGGATGAACCAGGAGGAGAGTGATGCAATAAACCCAGAGCAGGAGGTGCCAGGGAAGGGGACTGGGCACTCACAGGCTCCAAGGAACCCTCCTCTAGTGCTGCAGTGCTCTACAGCCAAGAGCTACAGACTGCACATGTATAGACACTCACTGTCCAATCTTTGCAGGTCTGCTTTTGTCTGTGCAGATGGAGTCTCACATTCAAGGTAAATGAATTGGGAATGAGAGGGCGACCCTTTGGTCCCACAGCCTTATGCCTACCCTGTACCCATGGGTGACTGTATTCAAAAAACACAGCAGGACTACTTAAGTTCTACTTACATCTGAAGTGTAGTTTTCATCTGGTTCAATAAGGTAAGTATGATTTCCATCATAGAACATCCCACTGTCAAGAGCAGGAAATGTAAATATGTAAATACAGATTTAATAAACAAACACTAGTGCAACATAGAAGTAACTTAAAGTTAATATACTTTAAAAATTTAAATATTTGAGAAAGGAAGAGTTTAAAATGGTTTCAGGAACTGAATGCAATTTGGGATCAGTCTTTTTGTTTCTTTACTTCAGAAAGATTTTCTCCTGTGGTGAAGCAGACTTCTTTCTTCCACAAACCTTCTCTACAACGCATATAAACACAAATTTAAACTAATTTAACCAACTGAAAATCCAGTCCAAAGCCCCCACTCCCATGCAGGAGATACCTACCTGCAACAGATAAATAAGGGACCTGTCTTTAGGAACACATATTTGTAACATGTGCATAGCTTTCCCCAAATAAAAATTGTATTGAATTGAATTGAATTATCCTTAGGTTTTAATGGGTCTTTTATTAACTCTTTCCTTAGCATTTCATTTTTAAAAAGTGTTGATACAACTATTATATATCTGTAAGAGCAGAAAAACAAATGTTATTTCTTATATCAACACATTCTGATCTCCAACCAACCAGAATATTTTTAAGTAATTTTACCTTTACTGCAGTGGCATACACACATGGCTGGGATTAGGCTGTATCAGCATGTCCTTTTCAAAGGGCCACTACTAAGGTGTTTAAGCTTGGTCTAAATATGAGCTGTAAATTCAAATTTGGCACACAGCACATAACAACAACAGTATGAAAGTGAGATTATTTATTTACTTACCTTACTGTTAAAACACCCAAAACAAATGGGAATTACAAGCAACAAAAACAGATCCTTTTCTTTTTTCTTATGCAGCATTTTTTATCAGCAATATTGACATTCACAGAAGTAACCTGGGTTACTGACTGTATAACATATATCAAGTATGAGCATAACTACAATGTAAAGCTGCGTCACTGTGAGAACCCCGGGATTGATTCAGGGGTCTCGTGTGGTGGTAAAGTCTCTCCTCCAACCCGTGCTTCCAAAGAAAAACTCCGCAGCCTCTTGTTCGGTCTCAAGGCAGTTTATTGCCAGTTATCTAAAAGATTGTCTTTGCCCACTGCGGCTGCTTTGGTCAGCGGCCCAGGCAGAGACACACACACTCCTGACACCCTCACTGTCTGGTGTTTTCGTCTTCTCTCTCCCCGCCCAGGGCTGCTGCTATCTTTTATATGATATATTACGTGTTATATGTTTACAGATTTTCCCCAATACCTACTACCTATGTTACAACGTGCTTTTCTACTCTAAACCAATCCACGAGTGCCAGCATCACCAAGAACATGGAGGCAAGGAAGAAGAAGGAGGAAGAGCAGGGTCAGGCCCACTTTCCTCCATCTTAGAACTCCTGACCCCCCTGTACAAAGTAAAACCCCCCTGTACAGGTGTTAAACCCCCTGTACAATACTAAAAAATTTTCCCCTCTAATTTGTAATTACTTCTACTATACCATCTAACCCTCTGTGACTGCTTGTTCCACCTTTAAAGTTGGTAACTCATTCCATGGCTCAAACTCAAAATTACAGCTGTTTTCAGCTGCTTGCCAGGGTCTAAAAATGCTTCTGACCAAGGCCTGGAACCTCTGAAAATGTCTGAGGGACATTTTGAGTTCCAACACTTCACTTTTCAACTTACATGTGCCTATTCTTTAGAAATAAATACTGTCTATATAGTTTAAGCAAAATATTCTAGCATCTGCTAGAGCTTCTTTGCTTGGAAGTAAAAGGAGATTGGGGAAGACTCTGTAGATCTTTACCAGTCAAATCTTCCTTCCCTCTAATTGCAGCTTTAGTTAAGCAGGGTCGGCAAGTTGAAGCGCTGCCAGCAAAGAGCTTCTCGTGAGACTGCTGCTCCCAGCAGCACTGACCTCTCATCAAGCCACTCAGCAGTGACAGAATAATTGTCACAGCTGACCTCCAGACCTGACTTGCACACTCAAGGCATTCATGGCTCTTTTCCCACCAGCTGCCACAGACCTACTGTGCTGTGAATAAACCACACGCTCACGGGTGTGTTAAACAGAAAGCAAAACATTCCAAAAGCCTGCATTTTGATGATGTGTATTCTTCGGACAATCACACGTGTAGCGTGACAGTGGAACTCACAGCAGCCCCGGCAGTTTTTGCATTCGCCAGCAGCCGGCAGCAGGACCCCGGCCGTGCCGCCGCTGTGCCGGACTGCGAGGCGCGGCTCGCTCCCATCCGCCCATCCCACCCATCGCTCCCATCCCACCCATCGCTCCCATCCTTCCATCCCACCTACCGCTCCCATCCCACCCATCGCTCCCATCCCACCCATCGCTCCCATCCCACCCATCGCTCCCATCCCACCACCGCCGGCCCGTGCGCGCAGAGCCCTCCTCGGGCTGACTCACGGGGAGCCCCGGTTACTGCATACCCCACCGAAAACAAACGAAACAAAAAGCCAAACCAAATGGCTTGCTCGAAGTCAAGTTTGCAGAGATATATTTGTCATTAGCCAAGTCATGAAGAAGACATCCTTAATTTCAGCTATCCTGTCAGCCAGATGTGATTGATTTAACCAATAAAAGGAAGGACGTGGACATTACTAAAAGAAGAACTCGTAACCTATGATTAAAAATCCTCAATATTTTTTCACATGTATGAATAATTCTGCTGTTACTGGCTGAGATCTAGCGGTACTAATATGCAAAAGAGGAGATTAGCATGACCTTTAGAAATATGAACCTTGTTATTATCTTAAAGGCATTTGTACTTCCTAAAATTCATTAAAGCAAAGATCCTGCCCCGCAGACAGAAGACAACTCTGCCCAGCTACCCTTATTCCAGCAAGACACTCCAAAATGTGGTTTTAGCTAAGGAGCTCTAATTGCCAGTGTGAGTAATTACTTGTAATTTTAAATTAGCTGTATAGGAGCTAGTTGCAATGATGGAAGTGCAGTGTCAGAAAATGTGAGTTTAATACAGGTCAGGAAACATTACTTTCTCATACTGGATGTTTGAAATACCAGCCTGATAAGAGTAAGCTTGTGTCAAAGAACTCAGCTGAAACTTTATTATATCAGGGGCAAAAATGGAGGGAGAGATGGAGAGAGGAGACAGGGAGATACCTCTCAAGAGAGAGTTGAATTATACAATGAAAAAAATGCATCATCTATCATGTAACTTTAGAAGGGACCAATTTGGGTATCAGGCCATTGAAGAATACAGAGCAGCAGAACAGTCAGTTTTAAGCATAAACTCACAGAAAGAGAGCAGGGAAAGACATATGCAAGCTCTCCTTTGTTCCTGCTTTTTCTCCTAGGAGTTAACGGGGGCCAAGACCTAATGGATCACTGCTAATGGAAGCCATGCAGTGCTCAGGATGCATTAGGAAGCTACTATTTTTAGGCTCACTGTCCATGCTTCAAACTGGGCTCAAGTTTCTTGAGCTGCACATCTGTAAATTAGACAAGTGCAAGGATGACAAGTCTTCTGCATGCATTCTCCCCTTCATATCAAAGTATAAAAGAAAGACACTACTCAAATAAAAGTACTTATATGACTCAAATAAAAGTACTTATATGACTGAACTACAGAATAATTGCAGATAGACTATAGGCTGAAGATTTCCATCAGCTAAACCCTGCTACCACAGCAAAAAGTAAAGCTCACGTGACCTCCACACAGGCTAACTTGGTGCCATGACTTTTCAAGCTGATGTCAGCATTAGTAGTGCTGAGATCCTGTAATTCCCAAATGTGACAGCACTTGGTTGATCTGAAAACCTGACTATCATCATTCAATAGTGCCAAAAGTAGACAGGTCCAAAAGCTGTACAATCCATAGACAACTTCATGTAACCTTCACTTGACAGAGGCTTTAATTATAAGTAAAATTATGCACTTCAAATAGAAATTATTGCACCCTCTTATACCTTTTCTTCTAGATTTTTCAAGATTTTACTATGTGAAAGGTATTACTGCATACACACAGCTTAAGGCCAGAAATTCTTTTAACAAAAATGGATAATGCAAGATAAATTCTAAACTAACAATTTTTTTGTAAAGAGACTACAAAAAAAATAAAATATACATCATTATAGCAACAAGAAAATAACACAATTTCCAAATAATTCATTGGCATTGTTTTTATTCTTCTAGAATAGGATGTTTTCAGCTACTTCTACTCTGCTATCTCTATAATAAATTATCTTAAAACAATACCTAGCTATTGCCATTAGTCCTCAGCTTAGAAAAAAAAGGGAAATTCTGAAGATTTTTGATTACTTAATATTGGTGACAAACTGGCAGGAAAATAAATAGCACTTATGTTACTATATACATGTATTATTTTACTATAAACAACTTGATTTTGCTTAAAAGACTGATAAACAAAGGTCAGTAAAAACAAAACAGCAGACTTACTGTAATCCATGGCATGTTGACAAGGCAACAAATGATACAGAATTTCCTCGAATTTTTCCCTGATAATAGCAATGTTCTCCTCCCTGAAATTGGAAATTGAGACTGTAAATCCATGGGACATTCCACAGTATCACACTTCATCCTGTCAAAGACTGCTTTTTCATAAACACTTTGCCAAGCCATTGACATGGCACCAAGGATTGACTATCACTCATAGGGGTGTTCATCCCATCTTCTCTGAGCCTTGGTTTGGTACTCAGATAAACACAGTCATCTTGACACTGTACACCAAATGGTATATTTCACAATTTGCAGTGTGAAATCCCTGACATCCTGAGAGGGATTTCAGAGACAAATTACTCCAGAAGTGCTCATCTTTCTTCAGTGACTAGAAAAAGAGTTGGAAGTAGGGGGCTTAGACTCAGCATCTGCTCTGCACATGACTACATCAGACAGGATGCTCTGAGGTTAAGGCAATTTCCTGCTTCTAAGGAGAAAGGTATGCCAACAAAATAATAACAATGCTTGATTGAAAAAAAAAAAAAAAAGACCAAAGCAGAATAGTCACTAGTGCTCCAAAGCTAAAGGAAACTCTAAAAATAACTAAGTAGTAGAGCAATACAGTGAAAATGAATATTTGCCTCTTCTCTTCTGCAAATAAAATGTAAACCTTTCAAATAAAATACAGCTGACTCTACCCAAAAAAATCCCCCCCGGTTTCACTGATAGGGCTGTAAGCCCCACTGCACATGCAATAAATTTATTCAGTATTGCACAATATCAATAATTGTATGCAAAATTAGAAAAACCATTCAAACATCCCTTAAATTCTCACTGACACCTACTCTTTAGAATAACTTACCTATAAGTGTCTCACCAAATTCAGCTATGCTGTAATGCACTAACATTGGTTAAAGGACTAGGAAGGAGATTTTCAGTGCTTTTCTTTTTCCATAGCACTTATTTGCAAATACTTCTTCCAGCAAATGAATGAATAATCTACCTAGACTAATGTACCCAGCCCTGTGAATATTTATGTCCATTTACCAGAGGGAGGGAAAGGCATTACAATAAATTGTAATTATAGCTTTTTCAGAAGCCAGCAGTCACTTGCATGATGCATAGCACAGTCATTTTAGACATCTGACAGTAAATGCTTTTGGGTTTTATTTTTCAAATATGAAAACTATTTAATCAAGATCAGGCTACAGGTAAGAAAATACGTAGGCCATGTTGGCAGTTTTGTGTTTTGATCAGGAAACCCTGTTCTGTTTTCTACAAGATGTGGAAAACTATTGTTGAAAACAGCTACAATGCATGGGTGCCTCTGGTTTGAGGCGCACTCCTTAAGAAAGCACAGGAGCCTGTTTGCTAGAGCACAGCTGCTCACAGGGAAACAGCCTTCATCTCAGCCTGGCCAAAGGACATCCCTCCCTCACACACTGACCTGCAGAGCAACCACCATGCTGCCCAGCAGGGGCACCTCTCTGCTCAGATGTCTGAAGGGAATCTGGTGCCACACAGGTACTGTTTGACTCCTTGTCTCATGTTGGTAAAATGGGGCTGACTCATCCCAGGCTACACCAGGATGAGTATGACAGCAGGCGTATGACCCATCGCCCCTGGGTCAGCATTTCTCGTGACTATCAAGAACTTGGGACACAGATCAAGTATCAGTGAAACAGAATTTTAATTTCTGCTTTGCACTCACATACATTTTAGTCACCAATATCCTAAGTTAATTTTCTTTCAGAGAGACTATAATCTTCTTTGTTTTTCCTGAAACCTTGGCTCAATTTCTCCATTTTATCCTCCTTTTCTACACCTACTTACTTCCTATATCTTAGCTACTTTAAGCTCTCTTGATTTGAGATTTTCTTTCTTTCAGTCAGTAGGGTGTCTCCACTACAAGATCATGGAACTGCTTAAGGCTTTCAGGTCCTTTTGGAATATATGAATGAGAAGTAAACAAAGAGATACTCCAGTTAGCAATTAACAAAGTTATCAATCAAACTATATGGATGATCTAAAGCCTTATGAGCAACAAAATAGTCTCTAAAGAAAATTATTGAAGTAGTATTCCTGTTAAAGATATAACTAGAATAAGTGCATGGATATGGGAATAATACTGAAAAGACTATCAGTAGGGAGTTGTACAGACTCCTAGCAGTGGCAGGAATTAGGAGTAATTACACAAATTGGTTTGTTCTCAGAAAATGTAGTTAATATGTACCAGAAATAGAATCTCAGGCTCCATTAGTTTGCAAAACCGTGTCTTTTCAACCAGGAGGAACATTTTTTCATACTGAGAATCCAGTCTATGGCTCAAAAGTGTGTTTTGATCTTCCAAATGAGAATCAAATAAATGTCCCATGACAGTACCTCAAAATTACTTTATTCAGTAATAAATCCATCAGAAAAAAAAATTATGCATACAGATCTAGAAAAGAAAAATATAAGAAAAACAGCTCTAAATTCTTGTCTGGGAAAAATACATTTGAGATACACGAATTCTACTCTATTTAGTCAAATCAATTCAACTCAACAATCTATCAGAGTTCATGGTAATTCTGGTGGAGACAGAAACACAACTATAATATCAGTCTCAAGGACCAGTTCTTATCACTACAAAACATTCCTTGCTATATGCTAACATCCAGGAGATATTTTTATGTATGTACTTTTGTTCCTATCATTATAACATAAGTCACTTCAAACCAGTTGATAAAACTAACTTAAGCTAAAAAAATTTTATTTGCACTTCATCAAATGAAGATAGTATCTTTCCAAGTACTCGATGCATGTGATTATCAGAGGTGGTTAGAGCATGGTGCTAATAACACCAAGGTGCTAGGTTTGACCCCTGTATGGGTACTTAAATCTACAAATTCTGAGAATTGAAGTGTTCAGGAAACCACTGGATGTTGCCATGGTTTGGACAAAGGTTGGACCTAATGAATTTGGAAGTAATTTCCAACCTTAATGAGTCTATGATTCTATGGTTCTGTACTGAGAGTCACAACTCACAAAGGCACTCTACAGGGCAGGTTTTTTCTAGCATGTCTAATTTTGGTCATGAAGTTCAGTGTTGTTGCTTCGCTATAGTGCTGAGGCTGAAATTTTGCTGGGTTTGACATGCACTAAACCTGTTTTATAGCAGGTGGTGCCATAAAATGCACTGTATTGGAGGAGAAATCACAGTATGTGAGATAAATATGATTATCATATCTATCTTCTTGGAAACACTCCCTGAAAGACTGGGGTTGTTGCTCTTATCTACTGGTATCTTCAGCAAAGAGACAAAAGCTGGGGGAAAAAAAATCATTTTTTTCCTAAAAATATTCTGGTCCTATATGATAATTAAGACTTCCCTTAAAAGCTGAAATTAGCACCAACTATAGTTCAGTCCAGAACATCAAGGGTCTTTTGTGAAGAGCTATTGCCTTCCTGTAGCTAACAGAGCCTCTCTCTGTTCTCCCAAAAGCAAAAATTGCCCATCTCAGCAAATCAAACCTCCACACGGGCCTTTGCCAGCTACTGGGGAATGGTTCAGTGTAAGATGAGAGGAAATCAGACTACTCTTCAATATATGCCAGTCCTAAGTCTGAGCAGCACATTTACCCACTTCTGCTCTAAAATTGAACCTGGTCACTCTAGAGTCTGACAAAAAATTAGGCTAAATGTCATCTTCTATGACACAAGGTCAGCCTGGTGACAATGGCTGTGACACAAACCTGCAACACACACAGGCAGACCTTATGCCATATCTAAAGGTAGGCTAATGCTACAGCAGAGAGAAGTTCAACATTTTTGCCTCCACAAGGCACACAGCCACTGTTCATGCTGTGGTCTGCACCATGCAAGGCACATTTTCTGCCAATGCCCATAGCACTCTGTTGTCCATTTCCTTGGACCAGTAAGTTATCCTTCCTGCATGAACCTCCTCAATGTGAGGGACAACCTACTGGTGATGTCTGAGGGCAGTACAGAAAATAGAGATTTTTAACAAGTTTATTAATTTAGAGAGATAAAAATGTAATAACATCCTACAAAAAATTTAAAAACCCAGAATGACCCTAGGGTCAATTAAAACAAGTTAATCATTATGATAGCTGTCAATTCATAAGATAGCCTTCATCTTGATGCTTAAGTTGGACAATTACAGCAAAATCCTGAATTAGTGCTATTTACCCTGTGAACTGCTACAGTTTATTTCTAACCAGAGGCAACCCTTTTGCCCATGTCAGTACAAGTCTTCTTGCAACCTGTCGGGTAGCGTGGCAAAGACACTAAAAAATGGTAAGACACAGGTGTCAGCAACACAAATAAAATCTGTTCCCATTTTTAGCCTTTAAGATAGTTTGTCCCTGCTTTGAGAGGCATCAATCAGATGCTGAACAGACACAAAAGAGATGAAAAGCACATTAACCAGTACTCATAATAAAGGGTGAAATAAGTAAAGTGAAAGATCAGCCCCAGCAGTCACTAATGGCAGCAGTTCACTCTTCTCTGCAGCCACAGTGCACAAACCATCTGCTGACCATACACTGGCAGGGCTTGTTATTCGCCTCAGAGACACTATGACCTTCCCAGGGGGGGAAAATAAAGATGCACATTCATCTGCTTTCTACATTGGATATCCAAGAAAGCCATTTTCTGCAATTAAGAGAGGTGCTGGCCAGTAAAACACATGCAACAGTCAGGCACTGACCTTAAAATTAATGTTAAAAATAGGTTAGAAACTGTTGTAAAATGGTTGATAATTGTTAAGCATGTACTGCTAGTTTGGTTATGATAAAAGGGGTTTAAAGGGGTAATTGTCAGAAATACAGTACTCTACATACCATAATACACCTAAGTAAAGTGCACCACCCCCCAGCTGAAACCAGCCAACCTGAACAGAACTGTAATGGGCCAATCAAGCTCCTTAAACCTTCATGCAAATGAAAGGATCCAGGAAGAAACCAGTCCAAAGGGACAAAAAACAGGATAAAAAAGGGCATCTGGCCCACTGGATTTGTGCCACTCCGCCTGGAACATCGGGGACATTGCTGCTCAGAAGACCCAGCACCGGCGCTGCAGC